GTGTCAGAAACCAAACAGAAAGCACGCGATCCCAAAACATTCCTTGGTAGACTCAAGATATGGGTCCTGAAAAGTGAGAGTAACCCGCGCGGGCAAAATTCTAATCTCCAAACATACACCAGTAATGATGGTTCATTTTTTGGCGGCTTCCAACCAATTTTCGACACACTCATGCACTTGCTTTAGACATTCTGTTACAACTTTGTCCTTGACGTACTGGGAGAACCATGGAGGCAAAGGCTCTTCCTGGCGGTTGCGCTTTATTAAACTCCCTGTGGGAAAACGCTGGTGAAAAAGGTCCTGTCCTTGAAGGCTGTGAAGATCCATAGGATGTTTTCATCCGTGGCTGGATCCACGCCCAAATAGCGCATGTGCTCCTGGACTTGACTTCACCACACTTGAGACGTCATCAGTGGACCTTGGAGCCTGACATGGATTGGTTTTGTTGGGAAAATCTACGGGAAACCATGGCTTTTGCCACCAGAAAGATAAAACAAGTTGCTTCTGGCTCAGATTTTCCACTGGTCCTGCAAGTCTGGTTCTATTCCATCCGCACAATACAGGATTCCTGAGAGAAAAGGTGTGAACACTGCCACAATCAGATGCAGTGAGCTGTCAAGATTTTAGGGTACCAATGGACCCTCAAATGGCTGATCATCTTTAAAATTGGCCATCCGAACAAATGGGTCCCCGGCCATCCACCATGGTCTTCTGGTCTGTTCCTTGCTTCAGTGCCATCTGGACCTGGATGGACAACCAGGCCCTTCAGAGGAAAGCCGATCTTTCGTCGAAATCTGTGTAAGGGTCGCCAACTCAAAGCGATAGACTCATCAATCTGATAAAGGTAGGTCTCATCAGTTGCCATTAGAAGGAACCCTGATGGTTCTTGAATTTTCGCGGCTCCAAAGTCCCAAAAAATCAATGGATCGAGCCTCATCTCGGGTGACGCCAAAGGTCCGCCATGGTCCTCGCTCATGTCTCATTGCACAACATGCCACACTGGAGTGATGCCCAAATCTGTTTTCGCACAATCCCCCCCAAACCTGCTCTGAGTAGGTTTCAACATGTTTCAACCATCCGGTTGGAAGGTTGGACTTTCCAAATTTTTTGGTGCCCGACTCGTCCTTGATTGAAGAGGCGCATGTCTCTGTCCTCCTTGCCCTCGATGACCGTCAAGAACTGACAGGTGACACCGCGTTTTTTAATGTCAATCTAGGCTTCAGAACACCCTGTTTTGTTTTTATTACTGTTCCATTTAGGTACCACAAAATTGAAGACTGTGAAGATACAAGACACATGATTAGTGAGTCTTTAGGCTCAAGGGGTCTTCCCCCCCAAAAAAGAACATTTAAACAGCAACACGTCCAACATTGGTCCAACACTTTTCTGTTTCACCATGTTTCACCTGATCCCAAATCTCCGCAATGTTGGCGTTCCATTCAAACACCGTGAAATCTTCCGGGGTGGGACCTCGGACGAACATCGGAGCCACGGCCAGGGTCAGGGTCACGCAATCGCAAGGCTGAAGTTCCAAGGCCGTGACTCTGTGGAAGGTATACAATCTGAAACTCTGGACCAAATGTCCCCTGCAGAATTTCAGCCGAATTTCAATGATCATGTTGTGAATTTTGATCTGAAAGCAGCAAGTTTGCTGAAACAAAAACCAGGCCAGATTGAAACACGTAAAGGACAATTCCAACATGCCCTGACCGCCATGCGGCTCCGCCTGTCTCGTCATGAAAACTATCTCGTCGTCCTCCCACTTGATGATTACCTGAACGCTCGAGAAATTCAAGGCTCACATCTGCACGCTCGGCTCTAAACGTGTCCCGCGTGCCTTGAATCCTACGGGAATGTCGTACTTGCCTTCAATTTTGTACCTCAGCAAAGACAGAAAATGGAGGTAAAACCAGGAAGTAACATCTGAAAGTACTTAACTCAGATCACCTGGGTGTGCCTAAAACATGGGGAAAGTCTGTCATTTTCCTGTCAAACAAACAATCTAACTGTGTTTTTCCCCTGGCACAGGAAGATACTGAGAACTGATTTCCCATGGTGTTCCCCACTCAAACACCGTGATTTCACAGCCAGCCATGTTCGGTTCCCATTTAGTTTGATTTTCCCATGAACCACCGGCTTCCCATTTGTGCCTGTGCCATTTTCCCAGCTGGGTTTGAACAAAACTCACATACCCTTAAATATCATGGTTCATCATGGTTCATCATGGTTCATCATGGTTCATCATGGTTCATCATGGTTCATCATGGTTCATCATGGTTCATCATGGTTCATCATGGTTCATCATGGTTCATCATGGTTCACCATCACCATCACTATCACCATCACCATCATCACGATCATGGTTTTCTCTCTCGCTAAATCATGCCAAATCCATCTAACCCCATCTAACCGCTGCGGAGACATCCTCCCTGTTTTTTGGGTCCCAGCCCCTCCCTCCCTTTCCGCTCGGCTGAGGAGACGGACTTTGAAGGATTGGGGCCCTGATACTTCAGCCCGAAGGACATCACCAGCAAGGGCCTGTCCTCAGAGAGAAAGAAGGCCGCGCCGAACAGCACCCGAACTTAAAACCACAACGGTCACTTTGGTCTCTTCAAATTGCCTATATATATATATGTATATATATGTATATATATATATATGTATATATATGTATATATATGTATATATATGTGTATATATGTATACATATATATATATATAATCATTAATTATATATATATATGTTTCTTTAATACATCATTTTCCGAGCCATTTACCAAGTCCTGTCTGTTTACACCAAAGGTTTCTAGTGTTTTTTTTGGAAGCCAAGCATCATCTGCGATGATCAGATGACCTTCTTGTCTTCTCCTGAAGTCTTGAAGGCCCTCGGTTTGGTTCACGATGTTCGCCTGGCAAGGGAAAGACCGCTCAGGGTAGCCTCTACTCCAAGGCGCTACTCCACTTAGCAAGTGGGTATGTGTCCATAATCATAGGGGTTATATGCCAACGTACTGTATGGGAGTTATTACCATCATAAAACCCATTTTTTTGCCCTAGCTGCACCTCCAAGTAGTGATACATGGCTGGCTGACAGGAGAATGCACATAGCTGATGGGAAAATTCACCAATGGGAACGGAGAATCCGGAGAATCTTCATTGCCCATGTTCGTTTTTGATCGTGCTGCTGATATCCCTAGTTTCGCCAATTGGCGAATATCCACATGGTACCAAGCTGGATCTGCCAATGCTTGTTGGGGATATTCTTCACCATCCCCTCATGATATCTAAATGTGATTCTAGATTCTAAATATTATACTTAATGGTAATTATATATATAAATTATATACTTAGTATCACCAGTTTCTTGATTATACTTACCCATCCCAAAGTCTCAAGTCGCCGAGATTGTCATCTGGAAAATCCTCCGACTTCGATGATTTCCCCGTTCAAACCTCCATAAACCGGGCCACAGACAGGGCCTCGCCTGGTCAAAGTATCCCCCTGTGAAGATCTCCGGCGGCCGCTCTTCGTACATTTCCATGGCCTCGTGGGAAGGAACTTCATGGTTACTGTAACCCTAAAAACCTGTTTGTTTCATCATTTTCTCTATTCAAAAATAACCATTTGGTGGGACTGGTATACCATATTGGTGGACATCTCCAACGAATCGAATTTGACGGACAATTTGTTTACACATAAAAACCATGGAACATGTTAACAACTGATTTATATCATCAACATGGCGACTTAACCAGCAAATACCCGAAAAAGGATCGTCACTAATGACGGGGAAGATGATCCACACGATGCGGGTATATCATCATCAATCTCAGGGATATCTAATCACCAAGACTTACATATCACGAGGACATGTGTAGAACCAAGAAAGATCAGTGGTTGGGTTTGGGTATAGTAGCGATCCAAAATGCAGAACGAAAGGGATCAGGCTCTTCGCACTTGCAAGATTAAAACATGCTAATTTGAGATGTGAATCATTTGGAACCCTGTTGATTTCACATTGGAAATGAAATGTCATCAAACAATTTGAGAGGAATGATGGTTACCAACGCCACCTGAAGTTGTATACATCCCTATCTACTGTGTCCTGTCATATTATGGCCATAAGCAAGTGTTGCGCCGGAACATTTTGCGCAGAGTGCTTCCAAGCAGCAGTGAACAATCAGCAATCAGACTCTAAAACTATTCCAAATCAACTTCTACGGAGTGATTCCCTCCCAACTTGAACCCAAACTTCGGTTAGCGGTTAGAGCGACCACATATGCAGCATGGGTGATGCTTGCAACGCGTCCTTTCCGCATCCTTTCGGGAGATCACCGAGAATCAAACTTCAGTCTTGCATAGTATTTAGGGCCTTTAGGGTCAAGGACCCCGTGCAAAACAAAGTGAGTTCTTTTTCTCCATGCATATTCGATGTCAAGCCGAAGAGAAACCACGCTGCCCAAACCTCCAAGGCAAAGCAAGTCATGCACGCTCCCAGCCATGCTGGAGAATATTCGATGACAACCACAACAAACAATGCGCATTGAAGCTGAATGCAAAACACACAGGCAGCCATTGTCGGATGCGAAAACTACAAGAGCTAAGTGACTCAATGTTGTTCCTCGAGAAAACGATGACCACAATGCTTCCAAGGAGCCATGGAATATCGAGGGACTCCCAACTTGAACCCGCTCTGGGTGACAGCTCTACGAAGCATGGCTCAGGACAGGCCGATGCATCTGTGGATGAAATCTACCTCTCCCATATGGCCCATACATATCTTGTTTCAGTGTGGTCTTTCCATATCTTCGCGAATAGCGAATATGGTAAATCCGGCCACCTTTTTTTTCCAACATCTCACGGATATTATGACTTGGATGTGCTTTAAACGTTCGGCAAGTTGACATTGCAGAGTTTTGTCACCGCAACCACCAGGATCACAGCAGTCACTCAAAAAAAAACCTGAAATCCTTGCCACAAAAAGGATCAGCTCTATTTTTCACCCTGCATCTTCGATGTCAAGGTTTTGACACAGAAGCGACAAAAGAACGTGAGGAGTGTCGAACTGGGTTCCTGAAGAAGAGATGCCAAAATGCAAAGAGCTCCACAGCAAAGCTGGCCACACAGGCTCCCAACCATATGGTCGAATATTTGATGATGACCACGAGAATCAACACTGACTGAAAAGACGAGCTAAACGAGCAAGCAGTTAGCACCACCGCAGTCATGGATGCACCCGCGAGCGTCTGCCAGATTCCACTTGAGAAGGCTCGGGCTGCCAGGCAGCTGGTTCGTAGCCCCAAAGGAAATGTTAGGATCCAAAACACTGGGCCCTGTATTCCATTTATAAACGCATTTCCAAGCATGTACTCAGTGACCGAAGCATAGCCCCAGTTTGAGGCGGACAGCTCACAATCAGCCCGGCCATCACAGCCAAGCGCAACCGTGAAGCCGCCCAAAACCAAAGGCAAAACAGCAGCGATGCAGGAGTTGAGAGGGAGAAAGTCCTCTTTTCCGATGGATGCCTCAACGCTTTCACGCAATGGTCCCCTCACATATGTGTTGAACTGATCCAAGATTTCATCGCGAGTGGGGTAGCTGGTGATGTGACGGATGTCTCTAAGCGCTTCTGGGGACATCAAAGGAGCATCAGCGGCATCTGCGGCATCTGCAGCATCTGCACCGAAAGAGACTTGAACTGGAGGCTCCAAAGCTTCATCGAACAAGTCTAATATCTGTTCCTCGATGACTTTCCGGTCACTTTCCACTGTGCACTCAGCACTTCGAATGTCGAAGTGCTCCATCTGACTCAGCATCAACTTGTGCTTTTGCAGTTTCTGCATGCACAGCCAGAACCAAGGGAGCCCAACGCCTACAGGCACAGCCACAGTGGCGGGTACTGCAATCATCATGAAAGAGGCCACGTATGACAGCCTTGAATCCCAATTACCTTTCTCCCAGCACCAGACTTGCCCGACAACGGAGAAGCATACCAAAGTCAAAAGAGCAAAGCTCGACAAGACCCACAACGGCATCCAGGTAGGCACAAATCGTATGGCCTGCGGGGCTGAAGAGGCTTTTACCCAAATAGCGACTTCATAAATGCACCACAGTCTTTGCCAATACGTGTCTTGGATTGGATTGGAGGAGGACGTCAACCTGCTCCTCACCGAAGTGAAGTAGTTAAGACGCCGAAATTGCCAACGCAGAGCCGGAGCTCTTTGCACTGAACAAACCGGAGGGCAAGTTCAAGCCAAGAAAAGTACCACCCATGCAGCTGAAGAAGCAGCAAACGCTCATTCAAACGACCTGTTTTGACGTGGTTCGTGTTCAAGCAAAACTTGCCAGTAGGGAAGAGAACCCTTTAGTTGCGCCTTCCAAGCTTCTCCAGCCCAAACAACTGCCTCTCTGTGTTGTGACAAACAAGTAGCAATCACCTGCCGAAATTGACCTGTAAGATCAGCCGCGCTAGCATCCGCTTTGGCATTGAGCATGCGGCAACGCAAAACATCAAGCCACCCTTCGGGTGGGCGCCATCGAGGAACTTTATTATGCGAGGGAATCCAAGCACAAGAAGAGCCATCAACCAAAAGCATCCTAATATAATGCCAGTATGGAAAAAGATCTCCACCCCACTGACCAAGCCGCATGCCACGATGAAGACGTTGCACAAGAGCTTGGTTGTCAATCAGCAAGCGCACCGCTCTGTTCGCTTCATGGGAAGCCAAGCAGGCTTGAAGAAGTGCACCTCTCTCGCCCGCAGCAGGAGTTTGCTCGAAACCATGCACCAACCCATTGACCGTGGGCCCGAGATGTGCCGCCACAGCCCAGCTGGCACGCTGCCAAAGTTCGCACCCTGGAGCGATTGCGCAACTTCCATCCAAGCCCAAAGTCGGCGTTTGATGTGGGTCAAACTGTTGTAGAAAAGCCACCAGAATGGGGTCGGCCGTCATATCTTCAAATGGAAGAACAGCTGGAGCATCCACAAGAGGAACAAGCAACCGCCTTTCAGTTGGAGTTTTGAGATCACCATGCCAAGGATTTGCCTCGCAGTAGAAAGTGAAATGCTCACGATCAGGAGAGCTCAAACCACAATCACACTGCAAGTCGACTTCCAAACGTTGAGTAACTCTCCCATCCACTGCTGCACCTGTCAAGACTCTGCGACCACAATAGTTCAAATCATGCGCCACATTGGCCTGGAATTGGAACACAGGCAACTTACCTTCAGGTAAAGGACCCTCCGTTTTAGTGTCCTTCGTCCACATAAAAGCCAGCCATGCTGCAGCAGCAGCTTTGTATAAGCTTGAAGAAGACATCCACCCTGGTTTCAAAGTCCCACGGGAGTGATCCACAAACCACCCTCAACACGCCAATTCCAGTCTTTGCAAACAGTATTCCACCTTGGGCCTGGCGAAACAGCGGCGGGCACACCTATGGCCAAGCGGCACTGGCGCTGCCATTCAGCCCGGGCTGCAGCAAAGTGAAGCGCAAAAGCAGGATGCAAACGCGGTGTGCCCAAAGAGTTCCAGAACAGCAATCTACTGCGACCTGGGGCAGGCTTGCGCCCCCAGACCGCCGCTTCAATACTGGAGGTCCAACTCTTGATGGTATCAACATCATAGTGGTGAAAAGCTCCTGTCCATGCAAACAAAGAGATCACCAACTGTCCCAGCAAGGTCTTGCGGGTGCCCAAACGTTTCGCTGCCAACCTGATTTTGCGACACCTCTCCTGAATGTCAAAGGAAAGCTTCTCTGCATTAACACAAGCACCTGCACGCTCCAAATTGTACTGAATACCCAGAAGCGTGAACTTGCTGCAAGGAGCCCCCAACACGTCCTGTATCTGTGACAGCTGAGGCGTCAAATGTTGCTTGGTTGTGAAACTATTTAACTTGTCAGGATGGAGTTCCATGCCCAGAATTGCATCAACCTGCGCACCTGCCTGCATGGCGTTGGTGACCACGTGAATGCCGTTGACACCTTTCTTCCACATTGTGCGGTCATCCAAATAAACTGCAAGAGAAACACGAGGCTCTTGCAAAAGAACGAAGCGCACCCAGACTACCATCACCGCATTGAGTAAGGCTGGGCTTGCCGGGCAGCCCTGCAGCAGCCCCCGCCGAGCACAAATGGGCTCTGAATGGAAAATGCCTTGCCAGGCAAACCACCTGCGTTGGTCAGTGTAAAAATTTTCCACCATGTCACACAAACTGGCCGGAGCACCCAACCAGCGCCAAATAGCAAGTGCAGTCTTTGGACAAACTGAATCGAAACACCTACGGATATCGGCCTTGCAGCCAACAAAATCAACTCTTGAACGTTTGGCAGCACGAATGTCTTCGTAGAGCACTTCATGAACATCCATAATGCCTCTTCCTGGACGGCCGCCACAAAGCTGAGGCAAGGCCCATTCTTGTATCCATGGTCGGAGCTTTTGCAAAGTTGCACTCATGCAGATGCGCCACAGGACCGTCGTGATGGCAAGTGGGCGCAGGCCCCCGGCCGCCTTTGGAATCAAGGCTATGCGAATATCTTTCCACATTGTAGGAACTTTCGCACACTGCATGCACGCCGACCACAAGACTGCAACGTGATTCCAAAAGGACTCCGGCAACTTGCACAAATGAGCCGCAGTCCAAGCATCCATACCAGCCGCTTTTTGTTTAGCTTTCAACGCAGAACGCGCCAAATCAGCCCCAACCACTTGAATGCTTTCAGGCGTGACTGGGTCGACCTGATTGTTGAGCTGCAAACACAAATTTGAAACCTGGTCTAAATGTGGGAGGTGGTCCGGATTCCAATGCGTGTGCCACGCAGCTGCCTCCTGTCTTGCCTTATCTTCAGGCAAAATAGGACCATCGACCTGTGTTGCTGTAGGTGGATCAGGTGGTTTTTGCTGAACCCACTTCCCCAGTTTCGCAACATTTTCTTGAATGTCCTCTTTCCAAGCAGCAAGGCGTCGCTGAGACGCCTTTTTGGCCACCTCATCTGCAAGAAGCAAAGCGGCGGGAGCCAAACCACCATCAGATAAAGAAAACGCAGTAAGAGACGAGTGCAAAAGCGGAGCATCGCGCAACAGCTTGGTTTGCAATTGCGGCGAAGGAGCTTTTTGATATTCGACCACCCGCCGTGCAAATCTTCTCAGCTTTCGCTCCTCCAAAGTCTGCAACGTAGGAGCTTTGGTTGATGGGGGGCTCGCCATTTTGTGCGGGCCGTCCCTTGATGCCCTGCTGGGCTTGCCTTGTGCAAGCAGCAAAGATTCAGCACAGTTGCTCAGGACCACCCAAGCTTGATCCACATTTCCGACGGCCAGAGCATCGGTGAAATCTTGCTGTGATTCTGCCCAAGCAACATTCCAGTTCTCAACCTCCACATTGCAAAGCAAGAGTGGTGCGCTTGCCGGCAATCTCCAAGGCGTGGGTAAGCTACCATGCACATGTATATCGTAAATGACTGCATCATGGTCAGCAACACCTAAAGACTGCATTCTTCCGGAAACAACAACTCTGGGAGTTGAAAGCGCGTAGTCAATGACCACCCCTGTGTATTCACCATCTGAGTTGCGGTGGGTGCCAGGGCCAATCTGGTCTCCGCAGACTTGTTCATCGCAAGAATACCATTGCCCCGACGCCAGCGCGGTGGAGGCCGGCCAAACATGCCTTTCCCTGTTGAAATCGCCCACAATGATTGCTTCTTCGCCCAGCATAGCAACGTATTCAAAAATGGCAGCCAAGGCGTGGCCAGCAGCTGTTTGATCGTTGGCATGTAGGTACACATTGATCAGAAGAAGCGGTCGCTGGTGAGGTCGAAAAAGCTTCAGCGCAAGCTTCAGCGCCATGGCACGGTCAGCCGGTGCAAACTGACTTGGAATGGCCAACGCTTCAGCAGGCCACTTTGACAAAACTAACGTCCCGCCAATCACCACATTCTTGGCATCTACCCCTTGGCCGCCAGGAAAAACTTGCCACTTTCGCTGGTTTGCAGCTGACTTGACAGCGCTCCAACTGTCGACATTGACTCTAGTTTCTTGCAAACAAAGAACATCGATCTGCTCAGTCTTTGCTAACTCAAAAACGCCACCCAACCGGCCACTCAATGACCGGACATTCATAGTTCCCAACCTTAAAGTGCTAGACGTACCCGTCATTGGTCCGTAGAATCACCTTCCTCTTGCTGAAACCCCAAAATCTCCAAAGCACGGAGCGCCGCTCTCTGCCTCGCCCCAGGTTCTTTGTTGGCGAGCTCCAGCAAGGCGTCTTTGTTGCCTTTTCTCTTTTGGTTCCAAACGGTGCTGTTGGCGCAAGACATTCCACGGAAATGTTTCTCGTCCTTCATGCACCGCTTGCATCTCGTGCAAGCAAAACGGACCGTGAAATCTACCGGCCAGACAAGTGCCTCAATATGGTGTTTGGGCGCAGTGTCTTTGGAGCTTCCCTTGCCTGAGTCAATAATGTTCAAAACTGTACGGGCACCATCCTTGAGAGCATCACTGATGGACGCTTTGTTGAGACAAGCGCGGAGCCTTGCCAGCATCTTCTTCCTCTTGGGGCCATTGCCGGCCACATACTTTTCACAGGACAGCGTAGCAAGCTCCTTTGCTTGATTCGCCATCTTGCCACATTTGCGACAAATAACCTTTGCCATACCTCCTCTTTTCTGTTTGGCCTTGCCAGTCATAGGGAGGGTAACCAACACTGGTTCGTGGGAACCGGCATCACCTTTTTTGAGGCCCAACAGGCGTTTTGCCATGCCAGCTGCGCGCACTTGAATCGTAGCTTTGGCTGCATTTGCCGCCCTGTAACTTCCATCGCTTTTGAAACGCTGCACATTCGCTTTCGGATGGTGTTCTTCTCTATGCCTCAGTTTCATGCGAAGCACCTGGTCTCTGCTGAGATCGGCATCTTCAGGAATGACCATGTTGCACAAGTGACACTTCCACTTGAAACTCATACCAGGGGCGGCGTGACAAAGCTGACCCATAGCGGGAGTGAGCTTCAACCTCTCCTTCTCATCAGGATGCCAAGCATTGATGTGGGCCGGCTTTTTCTGCGGCCACAGCCTGTGTACCCCTGTGGAATAATCGCACAAAGGACAATTCCATTCCTCCCTTTTTGGGCGTTTGGACGAAGTGCTGCCAGCCTCGTCCTTTTCGCTGACACCAGCGCTGCTCACAGCACGCCGCTCCCGACCTGAAGTAGCAGTCGCAGGGGAGGGATTCCTGCGCCGCTCTGAGCAAGTAGAACCAGGCAAGGAGGCGTCGCGCTTGGAACGCTTCTTGGCGCCCGCCACAGATGGCAGCGCTGACAAACGAGTAGCGCCAGCCGAGTGAGTGCCAGTTTCCGACCCGCCCCCTCTGTTGCCTTGCATAGGGCCAGTGGCGGCTTGCTCCAAAATGCTTGGCGGCAATGCGCCATCCAACAATTCATAATGCTTTCGGCGATACCACAGAGCAATGGCGCCACCTGCTTTCCCTTGGCTGTTGTAAACCTCAGGCACGCCCGTAGGCTGAAAAACTAATATGGGTCTGTCGTAGTGCACGGCAGCTGCAGCACATTCCAAGCTGCTGCCCCAAGCCCCAACCTTTGCAAGCATCTCCATGTACTTTTCCCATGACTCGCACTTCTCTTCCTGTTCCGTGGGCTCCCTTTCGTCCCACCAAGGTTTATACCGACCTTCATGCTTCTTTAAATGGTTCACAACTGCAGCTCTCACGGTTCTTGCAGTTTTGCCTCCAATTCCCTGTGATATGGACTCAAACAAACAATTGCCATCAGCAGCTATGGTTCGTGCAATCAAGCCATGAGGTGGCTTGACATCCACTGCAACTCGCTTTGCCGCCGGCAGCTTGGCGGGCGAAGAAGGTTCGCGTTTGTCACCTGCAGCAGCCGAAGCAGCTTTCATAGCTTCATCAGCTTGAACATCACCAGGCTGCGTGGCGCCTGTAGCAGGCGCAGCTGCAGCGTTCTTTTCCTTGAGCGGCGTGCCAATGTAGAAAGACTTTAGCGGTGGCTGTGAGGATTGCACAGTTGCAGGCCCAGTGTTGGAATGGAAATTGACCTTTCCGTAACTGGACAACTTCTTTGTAATGGGCCGCTGAGGTCTCTGCCTGGGCGCTTCAACGACAACAATGGTGTGTTCGCCGGCCTGGATCTCAAGGAAATCAAGATCTCTTTGAGCATTCGCATGTGCCCACCATTCAACTTGCTTGCCCAAAGTTTTGCGAGACAAAATCTTTGGATCTTGCAAGCCAGCACGTGTGATCGCTTCAGTGACCGTGCTGGCTGACCATTCTCGGGGCACACCACTAATGCGCCATGCTCTTGGCTTTGGAATCGGGTCAGATGCTCTGGGCTTTCGGACGCCTAAGCCGCCCCACCCTCTTGCAATGCCAAGATCACCTGCCAAACTTCGGACCTTTTGAAGATAGCTGGGGCCATCAAGGTCAGGACCTTTCTTGATCCATTCAACATCACATGACTCCACCACACTGTTGTTCCATTGGAGAGGTTCGACGAACCACAGACTTTTCCCAGAACAAGAAAGCAAGCCTTTCGCTGCATCTTTCTCAATCCTCAGCAACCCAGTAATGACCGGCTTGCCACCACCCTTCGTGCACTCCTCTTGGAAAGCCCACATGTCAAAAAACTTTGGCACCAATGTGGGCGGGCACATGCCTTCGCAACCATGACTGAGCGCTAGCCTTTGGTTTGGCTTGGATGCTCTGCCACTCTTTGCTCAACAAATACTTTGCTTCAACGCTCAACCTCACAACCACCGTCTCAGTCTGAGCTGCAGGAGCAGCAGAAACAACGGCTGCTCTTTTGAGTGTTGGTCCGTTTCCTTTCAAGGCTATCAGGTAAGCCTGCCTTGGCTGAACTTTCCCAGCTATTTTGCCAGGTATGAGCCTCAACTGTCTGCCGTCGATCTGCTTCGCTTCTTTTGGAGCTAACAAAACTGCAGAGACATGCAATTCTCTTGTCTGATCTGTTGCATCACCTTCTGTCAAAACTTTGAGCTCACTCAGTTGCTCTTCCGATTCACACTGCACTGTTGCTGACACATTGCCAGGCTGATCCAACGCACTGCAAAAAGAATCGAAAGTCAAAACTTGGCCGGTCCAGTCCGACTGTCTCAAACACCAAACTGGTTTGAACGGTGCGTTCGTTCGAACTACTTCCACAAAAGACTTGGATGCTTGTGTGGGCTGTTTCTTGTTGGCATCCTGTTTGCGATTGGGAAGCTGCGCAGAAGTGCTAGTAGGATTGGTGATTGGGGCAGAATTGAGCGCTGCATTCCTGTGGCCAAGGCCCGCACCACCATTGTCACCTTCCTGTGTCTTGCGCTCTTTCTTTCTCTTTTTGGGCTTGTTCCCTCCTTTGTTTTTGGAGGTGTCAACAGCTCCAATTTCTTGACCCATCAGAGTGCTAAGTTGCTGAAACAATTTTCCGCTGCCTCCCCCAATTCCCAACAATTGGCAGAGCTGGGTAAGCAGCTAGAGAATTTCTCCTACCTGTTGCAAATTGAAGCCATTAGCTTGCGCATTGCTTTGTTTCTGTTTCCGTCTTCGAGCTGTTGCTCGGCTGCCTGCTCCATTGCCATTAAGGATATGTTGCAAAGCATTTCTGGTTCTGGAAGACACAGCCCAAGTCTTCTGTGGCAAGTCAGTGCAAGCACAACAAGCACACACCACAACTGAACTGTTCGCTTCTGTGCACTGCCTAGGCCTGAAAGCAATGCATAGACCCGCAGCAACCGCGCGGAGGTCGTTCAGGTAGCCGCGCCAATACGTGTCGTCCCAAATTACTAGCATCTGCTTCGATTGAGCTACAAAGGCCGGAATTGCTTGCAACGTCTGCGACTTCACCTCTGCATTGGTCGGATGGACACAGACCTGATCTATCCAGAACTTGCGACAATCCAGCAGGTGTCCAAAGAGATACGTACCAAGAAACACCGAAAACGGCCAGAACAACAAGAGACAGCACCTCAGTGTGAGATCTTGCTGCGCCACAGCCGGGAAGCTACCTGCACGAAGTACCAAGATCAAAACGGCCAGCAAGAAAGCAAGGACACATGACCCGATGGCCAAATTCAGGTTTAGGCGATGGCATAGAGCCAGTCGTTTCATCCAAAGTGAACAAGACCAAGAATGGCTGATAAAGAAATCTACCTCCGACACCCTCTGCAAGGAATCATACCTGGATGTCCGGTCTGGGCTGGTTTGGAGATATTTCAAAACTGAGTTCGAAACATTGAAATTAAACAAGCAAGCCGCAGTTGTAGCCCTGAAGAGTCCATCCTGCTGTGAGACCTCGATGAGCTTCTGAACTTGCTGCATCCACAGGACGACCGCAACTTAGGCCGTGTCTTTGGCCGCAATGAGAACGTGGCTTCACCAAAATTCATTGCGTTCGAGCCAAGCGACTGCAAAGTTCTGCGCTGGGCATGGTCCGGCATGGTCCTCAAACAATCTAGAAAGAAACACACTTTAAAACCATGGCTGGAAGATCGGTAGGACTGCAGAACCACAGTTCGCTATTTGCCTTTTCCAAAGCCGCGCTTGCAGTGAAACCTTCGGTGAAACTTCATCGACTGAGTCTCATGTGTCTCAGTACTGAGATGCAGAAACTCAAGTTGACCTCCATCGCGGTGGAGTTGCGGCTTCATATGGTCGCGGCCAATGGTACCCATTCCTTGCGTAAATGAAATGTGAGCAAATCTCGGGATGTGGTCAGATGTGTCAAAAATATGCACAAACCCACGGTCATTGTAAGCACCGACCATCCAGTAGGAAGCAAAATACTTCCTGGAGTTGTCCACTTCCCACTTCCCGGAAATTGCTGCTGGGAATCATCTCGGTGTTGAAGCAAAGTGACCTTGCGTCGGATCGAAATAAAAGCATGTCCATCTTCGATCATACAGAAGCCCTCGACATTGGTTTAAAAAAACAATTAAGGGATAAACAAACTCTAAGCTTGACAGTGGCGCAAAATCATTGCCCACAACATTCTTGTTCTAGTGTACTAGTCTAATGCTAAAAAGTTACTCTTCCGGTACAATTTCTGATGAGGATTCCTCACTTTACTGCTGGCATCTGGATCTACAATATTCTACAATCATGTCCAAACCTGATGGTGTGATTGACTGGTGAGTGGCTCGAATGACAAATGGGTCTGTGATTGCCTGATGGAGGGATTTGATGGACTGGTTAGCTAATGGATTTTTTGATTGGTTGATGGCAGCTGGACCACAGTTGGACAACAGTTGGACAACATGTTTTGATATGTTTTGTCTGTATTCTCCGGGATTGATGAATTTCTCTGGGTGATCATGAAGCATACATGGCTTTGGAAAGCACGATGGAGGACACACCAAAAACCAGGATCAAGACAGGGGTTCTCCCCTATGACCCCATGACCCCCATCAAACTTAGAAGCCAAGACACCACATCACTGTGACCACGATCTCTAGCACACTCTTCAGGCATTTTTCCCACACCTCGGAGATTCTCCAACTGGCCTGCCGTCTGAATCCTAGGGCTGTTCATTTCAGTGTCGCACCGTCCTAGTCGGTGTCCGATCTTGGTGCATACCCACATTCACATGGCACACAACTTTGTTGATGCCTTGATAATGTGGGAAGCACAGGCAGAGAAGGATGCTACTTGAAATCCCATCACGAATCCATTCAGCCCTTCTCTTGGAATCCTCTTTTCTCTTCTGTTCTCTACCAAGACTCTACCAACAAACCAACGAAAATCGATTCCATTGACGCCAAATCGTTGCTCGCTCCAAGGGGCGGTTGAGTGCGCGAGCTTCGCCACCGTGTTGCAGCAGCAGTTTCACCAACTGTCGCGCTCGAAACGGATTGGTCAGCGATCAGATTTCGAACGTGGTTGGCATATGGGGGGTTCCATAAATGCGGGGGGGGGGGCCCAAAAGCTGGATGGTTTATAACAGAAACTCCTATTTAAATGGATGATTCATGGTTACCCTCCTGACTTGGGAAACTTCCATATGTCTTGGCAAACCTCTTTCCTAACATTATTCGAGCATTTGACAGCAGCTATCAATTTAGGCCTTTGAATCTGGCGTGTGAGATCAACTTTACCAAACATCGGCAGGATGACAGCATAATCACCCCTGGTTGCGGCCAGGTGTAAAGGTTTGTCCCCACGGCGGTCCTCGAGTTGCGAAGAATTCGAGAATCCATCTGATTTCAAAGCCATCCATAGAAAGTCTGGATGTGTCTGAAAATGGGGTGTATAATGTATATATATATATATATATCAAAGCAGTTCACTTTTCCTCGCGCTAAGCTGATTCTCCCAGCGGCCGTGAGATGGCCGACAACAGCAAAATTTTGCTGTTGATTCACACTGCAATGATCGATCAGACACTCAAGGCAGTTGGTCTCCAGAAAGAGGCTGTGAAGCTGTTCTCAGTCGGGAGGGAAAATAAACAACAAAAAGGGCTGGGCCCTGAGAAAGCTTGGAGCCAGATAGCGCACCAGCAGATGACCTGAATTGATAGGACACATCAAAGCAGTTCACTTTTCCTCGCGCTAAGCTGATTCTCCCAGCGGCCGTGAGATGGCCGACAACAGCAAAATTTTGCTGTTGATTCACACTGCAATGATCGATCAGACACTCAAGGCAGTTGGTCTCCAGAAAGAGGCTGTGAAGCTGTTCCGCCTCTGAAGTCCTTGGGCTCCGCATTGGAGCTCACAAACCAAAGCAGTAGATCGACACTGTACTTTGCAAAAATTTCTATGCGCCGTCGGGCTGAGGTCGAGAGCCGATGAAGTAGCAACTGGGCTGCTACTTCTTGCAAGTAAAACTCAACAGTTTTCAACTTTGTCCACCGACCTCTCCACGCAATTCTAGAAACATCTTCAGTGCAAAGGTACATGTGGGTGGCTCCGGATCCTCTCAAAACTCCGGGAGTCACCCCTTTTTGCGACTGCGAAAAGGGAATTTCAAGCTTCTGCATTATAGAGTCCCACTGTCGCCGATATGAGTAGGCAGACCCGTCATAGAGCTTGGCTGAAAGTTTGAGACGGCCAAAAACTGATTCCAAAAACTGAATCATCAAAGGATCGTCTATACGGCAGTGCTGTCGCCTAGCGAACCTGGCTGTCTTTGGGTTCCGCAGGTGCACATACATGACGCGACTGTCCACCATCGCATCTCTGGGGAAAACCAAATCTTGTCTGACCAGGTTCAAAAACTCACCAGGGTGCAACATGCCTGAGAACCCAATCAGCGTAATGGCCAACCAAACTTTCCAACCCCACAACAGGGCTAAGGTCGTGATGGCACGAAGCACAGGTGCCGATAACACTGGACGGCACTCACCAGGCTCATGCAGTTGCCATCTTCGATCCACTTGCCAGGCAGGGCTCATATATGGACGAACATGTGGGTGTAGATTCTGTATGCCAGTGATGGCGTACACATACAAGTATCTGGGAAAACCTTGCTCAAAAAGGTGCATGCCGTAAGCTCGGAGGGCGAGCGCCATTCCGTGAGGTGACTGAACCAGCGAAGAAAAACTCGAATTTAACGTTTGATCTACCCAGAGCTTGAAACCAGTGACACAATCTTCCATGCGGCGACTCGTGGCTGGTGCAAACCCGACCGCAGCGTCGAGCGGTCCACGGGGCGATCGTTGGGTCTTCTGCGGTCCTGGATTCCTCTCAATGTCACCTCCCAGCAATAGCAACAAGCGCAGCCAACGAGCTGCGTTTCGCCCAAGAGATGCTGACATCACCACTAAATCAAAATCATCAGTGTTTCCAGCTCGCAAAGAAGTGAGCCACCTGGGAGCCGGCTTTGAAGCCGGGGGAACCGGGCGATTCCGGGATGGTCCGTCACTTCTGTTCTTTTTAGACATAATATGTAGACCTCCGGGATAAAGGCAGCCACCTAGAACATAACCTAGTGCCCCTTGCAACACATGAGTCAAGGCCGGGCTGCTAGAACGACCTTTGGCTGTGGCTCCTAAAGTTACTCTGGAGTCTAAAAGCCCTAGAATGCGAGACGAATGATGATGTTTTGCACAATGTTTGACCCAGGTCTTATATACTCTACTCTCTAAGACGTTGATATGATTGCTCTTGCGGAAGCGATACCTGAGCAACTCTTTGAAGTGCACAGAGTCCGAATATTCAGCAATCCACTCGGCATCTTCATACCAAGGCCGGTAGCTCGGACGATCCAAGCTGGAAGATTCGTCATCACCTGACAGAGGCAGCACAGGTGCTTCAAGACCTAACTCAAGATGCGTACTGACTCTGAGTGAAAAAGGAATGATGGCTACACTTCCGGATTTTTGGGCTAGTGACCCCTGTGCCATGCGGGTGCACAAAGGAATAGGATATGATCCTGAAAAAGCGGCCACTGCTTCGCCAACTTTAGGGGTCCTACCATAAACAGAAACACTATCGGGGTTACACAGTTTTTCAAACTTAGGGATATTTTGCCTAGTGAAACTCCCCTGGATTACAAAGTGCCCCCGCTGCGCCGGACACCGGCACTTGCAAGCTAACCCTGTCAGCCAAGGTTTATTGTGCAACCACTTTGAAGGCTTTTTGAAGGCAGAACCATATTGGCAAAAACAAAACTTGGTGAGGATGCACCCTGCTAGGACTAAGTTTTTGAAAGCATGTAACAAAAACATAACAGACGATCCCGGTTGTTCAACGCTGACATATGAGCCTAATTGCAAAGCTATTAGGAGGATATAGGCAGTCCTGCGGGCTAACTTGTTATGCTCCTGGGTGAGCGGGTCATTAAGATCAAACCCTGCTGGAAAAACCTTACTCCGGATGCGGGGTCTGCGCAATGTACCGTACGTACGGCACGGCGTCCCAGCATGCCAGTCACGCACCACGCCTCGTAGAGCTAGGCTAAGGACTTCATGAAAAACTGAGTCATCCAGAAGATCTCCAAACGATAGGCCTTTGTCCTTGATCTCCACTCCAGGATGAACTCGCAGGCCAACCTGTTCGTGAGCAGCACTCCAGTTGCCCTCCCCCCTAAAAAGCTCTAGACAATCCCAAATGAAACCTTCCGACAAATGTTTGGGCACGGGAAGTGACCAAAGCCCTACGGGATCAACAGGGGATGGTCCAAAAGAAGGTTCGCTGTCAATACAAGGTTCTTTTAAAACGCTAGCTGCAGGATTTTCCAATTTGGTGTAGAAGCCCCGTTGTTCGGAATGCCGCCACATTTCATTGACTACATGCTTTGATTCCTGAACTTTGCAAATGGCCCCTCCATGCGGACTGGCGTCCATGCAAAACACTTGATCACAGGTACCCACTCGCAGGTCAGTCTGACAGAGTGGGCCAAGAATGCAGAGAGCCAGCAGTTCATTGCGGGCCTTACGTGACAGTTCAAACACAGTTTGTTGGGATACATGTTTACCCTCATTAAAAACAGCGGACATGACACTCATGATCGGACGCCTATACATAAGGACGTTGATCCAGGAACCAAGGATGCTGGAGAGGAGTTTGGGAGTGGCGGTTCCCCGCTTAGCTATGATTGAGGTGCACAACATCAAAAGCCCAATGCGGTGACGAGGGGCCGAGACACGGCCGACCGCTCCGTCTATCTCCGCACCCAAAAATGTTCCTGAAATTTCATGCCGCTTTCGCTTGCGAGGATGCTGCACTAGCCCGACCTGCCGGTAAGCTTTGGCAGCAGCTTGGAAAACTTGATCATCCCTGGCTAATGCACTGGCTCTATAGGCGCTCTTGGAAATACGCTGAAGTCCTAGGTGATCATCAATCGACAGGAATTCATAGAATGGTCCTCGAGGGAAGGCACGGCGATATGCCACCCGCTCGTGCTCTAACAAACATCCTGCTACTTGAGACAGAACTTGGAAATGCGCCTGCTGCGCTATTTCAACAGCCAACGAGTCGCCCATGGCCAAGGCGGCCAACGCCACAAAGCATGGCCCTGTGTGTTTGCAAGGATCAAAACATGAAAGATGCTGGATCTCCTGTGGCTTGAAAACTGTTCGGATGCAATTCCGCCGTGCTCGGTCTGGCGGAACTTTGAATGTGTAGTACATTTCTGATAGATCATCGGCTGAAATTCGGAGGACTTCGTCCTCAGCTAGCTGAATAAGAGAAACTAGGGAACCCGGGGCCAAACTACGCGTGTAGTTGCTATAATGCTGCATGCGTCCGTTAGTGACAACGGGGTTGAGGATCAGTCGGTCATGAGTTTCATCTTTGGCTACCGCGAATATCCCCACGGCTTCATCATGAGCCACCTCGCTGCACATGAACAATGCACAAGCCCCTTTGGAGTCCCACTTCTTCAGCCAGTTTGAGAACTTCAGCTTTGGAACAGTGGACTTTACCCCTGGGAGCCTTAACCCACAAGTGTTCGGGGAGCCTAAGGGTGTCAGGACTAATGAAAGCACGCTTAACTACGGGGTCAGTTAAGTATGGAATTGGGTCGAATGAAGGGGAATGATCCCATTTGATTCTACTCACAACCACCGGCTTAGCCGTAGTGCACCCAAGATTAAGCTGAAGAGGATCAACTACAGAGGCATCTCCCTTTGGGGGTGTTCGGGGGGGATTATCAGCCTCCACTGTTTTTGGCCGGGGAACGCCTGTCCCTACTGGTAGGGGGTCCTGAAGCCCCAAAGTTTGGTTACTGCTGGAGCACCAACCTTTGGAGGAAGTCCCAAATTCACCTAGATCAAAATTTGAAGCTACACAATTCTCAGTGGCATCCTTGGACATGCATGCGGATGGGCTGAAAACAGAACCATCTTGTTTCCCGTACGGGTCTAAACAACGACTAATTGATTCAGCCATGACAGCTAGGTCCACGTCCTGGCATTGCTGGCCAGGCAGTTCCCTGCAGACGCTAAGCAGTGCGTCTAATTTTTCAGCACTCCTGCCCAGTGATGCGGAGTCGAAATCGCCCGCAGCTAAAAAATAGTCTACAAGTCCCTCCAGCCGCTCAATCATAGCAATCTGTGAAGGGGAGTAGCCATATCCTGCAATAGCTTGTGGGGGCGGATGCACCGGATGACCTAAGGATTCCCAGTTCAAACAACAAACTATCTGCTGCACACAGTGGTTCCTACAGGCCAGATGCTTCTTGCGCTTCCGGCGCGCTGGTGACAGGGCTGAAGGTCCCGTCCATTTCCACACAGGTGGAGGACACGGCCAGAGATCCAGTCGATCTGATGCCGACTGCTGTGCGGTGCGAGGATCCAACTTGCAAGAAAGCCGAGTAAAATGGGCTAACCCTACGGATGCAAGTTCGTTGCATTGCAAAACTTCATTAATTATATCTAAAAAATTGAAGGTCCCCGGACTGTCAGGCCCAGTGACCCGCTCGTATGAGGCAGGACTACGGGAATGGGGGTTATGCAAACCAGATGAGGAGGAATGATTACTGGTTGAATGCTTGGCATCTGCAGAAAACGGAACCTCTTTACCCATCAGTGCAAAATTGCCACGTTGCTTCGAACGTGGACTTCCCGGAGAACTGCCCTTCAAGCCTCTCAGGTTTTCGTCGCTTCCGAGGCTTCGGCTGCCGCGGTCTTGGCACTGGTCTTGCCATTCCCTTTGCCTTTTGGCTTCGGCTTGGGCTTTTTGTCTTTGTCTTTGTCGATGTCCTTGTCCCACTCGCTTTTGCTGTCGTGCTTGGTGCCATCCTTGAGCCTCGACTCCATGTAGTCCATGTCTTTGAGAAAAGCTATGTTGGCGGCCACCCAACTTGGACTCGCAAGGCGAGAGTAAGGACGGAGCCCGCGACGTTGTTTGTTCCGTTCGATGGCAGCGAAGTTTGGCTCTGCCACTGCGGAGAGCAGCCAGCCCATGGTCGTCCTGCCACCATCCAAACAAAACTGCTCGGTCATCATGAGTCCCTTTGCCATAAGTCCCATGATGTTCGCATCGTTCAGGTTGAAACCAATCTCCCAACCAGTTGCCATAAAATGACTCAAAAGCGTCAATGTTCGCATGTCTCCCAGGGGCACTCTCTTCTCGATGAACTCCCTCATCAAGCCGGGGAAGGGCTGAGAATACCCCATGTCTTGAAGCACATTGCGCTGCGTCACTCGAGCGATCATAGGAAGATCTTCCATGTGCTTGATGAAGATCTCGCGAGCATGGCACCCCTTCACTCCCGAAGAGGATTGGGTCGAGTCTGAGGACCCCGAGAGAACTTGGCTCAGAGGGTCGCTTGACCTGGGGCCCATCCGAGCCAGCAAGGCCTGCGCATCGCGAGAATGCGATGCAAAGGGTCGCCAGTTTGCGCCAGCTGCGCCAGAGCATCTTCTTCCTGCGCCTCCAATCGCACCTCGGCCTGCGTGTCGAACTCCTCGCCTCGATAAGCGGTAGCTGCTTCTGGTCGAGGAGCTCTTTTCGGTGCAGGTCCTGCTAGCTTCTGAAGTTGGTCCCAATCTTCTTGACGCAGGCCGCCAGCGGCCATCTGCATGGGGAACAGCTCCTGAGCAGGCGCAGGGGCGGCTAAGAGGCTGGTGCGACCAGCAGCTTCTGCCTCCAACTGCTGGATTCGAGCTTGCATTTGCCGAATCACATCTGACTGATCTTCTCCAACAGGAGCATGGTCGGCCCCAGGGATCTGCTCTGGGAACTCTTCGCCCCCTCCGCCAGAATCGGCCGAGTAGTACTCCTGGAGGACATCGTCCGGCTCTTTTGACAGCAACCAGGCTTCCGAGGCCGCCCAAGCCTCGTTCGACCGGGGCCGCCCAATCTGGTCCTCCACAGTGATCCGCAGGATGCTGTCGGTGGCATCTCGACGAAGAGCAATTGGCCGCCGAAACTGCGCAGCTCCAAGCCAGGGCATGTCGACCAACAAGACGCTTGCAGTGCCTAAAGTCCGGCCCCGCATGGTCTCGATGACGACGTCGGCTGCCTCGTAGATCGCCACAGGGTAGCCCTCGCCGTCCACCCATTCCTGCAGAACTGTTTCGATGGCCTCGACGTGAGGCAAGATCACCATGAACCCATGCTCTCTGCTGCGAATCAAAAATGCTATGGAAGTCCATAGTTGATCAAGGTGATCACTAGGGCTGCAAAAATGAAGAACTGGTAAGGGTTTGCCAGCAGTCCAACCGCTCAGCAAGTCCAGAATGGCCGTCTGCGATAGACGGCCTCTCACAGTTCCACTCGTGGCCATCCCCTCTGCGCCCCGGCAAGGAACGCAACCACCTCTGCCAGAGTAGTGAATGAATGAGACACACTCTGGGGATCAAAACCGATCCGTCCACTGCCAGTTGATTGAACCTCGCGGCAGTAAACAGCGTAGTCCTCAGTGATGAAGCCCTCAGGAAAATCCCTGGAGCGCAACACAACGTACCAGCGCTTGATGCCTGGCACGTGGGGAGACTTGCAAGTCGTCCGAGCGCGCCGGTCCAGCTTGTAGCGAGCCCCAAGGCCAGCTCTGACGGCACGGGCGAGACGAGCCCTAGCAACTCCCGGACTGGGAAAATCAGGATCTGCTTCTAATCCAGCTAACCGCTCAAAATGCCACTCACCCAAAGCAGTGTTGGTGTCTGAAGCAAAAAGCGCTCCAGCTTCCTCTTCCACAAAATCAATGGTAGGCACAAAATTGGCAGCGCGGAACTCAGCCCCTGATGCCGCAGTGGCTGAGGCGACCTCAGCAGCCAGTTCTGGGACCTCCGGACCCGGATCTGTCACCAATTCCCAAGAGTCCTCTTCCCGAGTGACTCCTAGGCGATCCAAGACAGAAGAGGCCACTTGGCCAAGTCGCCCAAGCATCAACTGCGGTACTCCCGCAGTCGCAAGCGAGCTAACGCCCCCCCAGGAGCAGGTGCTGGGTCACCCCAAGTGTTCAAGGCTAAATGCAGCAACTGAGATAAAAATGATCGGCACCGTGGGGAGATGACAACACAAGTCAATACGGCACCAGAGATCAGGCCTACGCAGAAGGCAGCAGCCACGCCCAGCACAAGGAAGCTGAGGGTGCAGCTGCAATATGGCTCTGGACCTGAAAACGCCCACCTGGCTTCACGGGCTAAGTCGACCCACCAGGTTCCGAGCATATATTTCCCTGAGAAAGCTTGGAGCCAGATAGCGCACCAGCAGATGACCTGAATTGATAGGACACATATATATATATATATATATTATATCCCTCCAAATTGCCCCTTTAATAGGGATAATGATAATTGATCAATGTATTTAGGGGTACCCTGTTTTCAAACAAACCCAGCTCAAGATCACCTACAAGTTTTCAGTTCAGACCACCAGAACACAAAGGTCTGCAAAGCAAAACCTCATGGCGTCCTTTCTGTTGCAAGTGAGCTACGTTTTGTTTGCAAAAAAATGTCAATCTTCGAATTCATTTGAAGTCCCAAAATCACAGTGACTTGGGGATTCAGCTGGGATCCTCCATGTCATGGGAATTTAAAACCTCAACTGGGATACGGTGCCCCTGTCAGCTGCTGCAGGTCCTCCGCGTTGGCATCTCCACCGTTGGCCAATAGTGTTTCCACAACGGCCTCAATTCGTCGAAGAATTGAATGGGGGGGAACCGGGTAGTTGGGCACTTGGGGTGAATTTTGAGCCCACACAACTTCACCAGCAAAAAAGTTGATGAATCAAGTTACATCCTGAAAACATGCCATGATCAGGAAACTATATGATGATTTCCTAAAATGGGGCTACCCCGTACCCCAATAGCTGGATGGTTTTTGGGTGGAAAATCACCAAAAAAAAGAGGATGCACGGGGGTAGTCCATGACTTCGGAAACGGGCTGAGAGCCGGACCAGTTGTCCGCGGTGCACGGCGCGGTGCAGAGGTGTGGCACCCCATTCATCCGCAGAGATGCCTCGATTCGGAGGGTGTTTGGCCATAGGATACCCATAGGATACCCATAGGATACCCATAGGATACCCATAGGATACCCATAGGATACAAAGCTGTCAAGGATTTAAATGTATCTAGACTTCATCTAGACATATCTAGACCACATTTCGGGGCTGAAGTTCTCACACTTTCTCAGCTAGGTGTGAACCGCCGGGTACCAGGGTGTTTTCTCACACATACCCATTTGATGAAAAGGCTGACCCAACAAGGCTGCCTGCGCCTTCACTGAGTAAGAGTGAAGCCAATTCTGCCTGCAGGTCGGGCACATGGCTTTATTGAAGAAAAACTCCAACCATTGGTGTCCTCTATCAAGAAGATCATAGAATCGCAGATCTTGGGGTTCTGAGTCACTGAGTCTAACTGGACACGGGCTCAGCAGTCATGACACTATGAACTCTACAACATAGCCACTCCACAACTCTTACATCATCCTAAACCCCCTACTTGGGTGTGCAGTTGGGGTTTGAAGTGGATATTTAACCATACTTATAGATACTTATAGGGGTCATTACCATGGTTATACCCATGAATAATATTGGATAATCCCGACTGCACCCGCAAGTAAATTGGATGCAACTCTCCAATTCGCCCACAAAATGCCATTCCATCGTGGCCACATCACACCCAGCTGTCCCAGCTGTCCTTTCCATGCTCTGCAGCTTTGTGCAAAGGAGTAGATCTCCAACGATCTTCCCGACCTCGGCCAAGATTCAAAGATATGGTGAATTGTCATCATTAAATGACCATGATATGGTTTTGGGAAAGATACTGTAACGTAATCTGCTCTATTTTCGTTCTCAAACTAGTTGGTTGAATCACTCTTAGCACTAAATTGCATTTTTGTTGTTATCACTTTATGGGTATACCGGTATACCTTGTACCATTTTCAGACACACCCATGCCAAAAATCAATCTGCCAAAGTAGATACATGGTTTCTTGGACCATCATCGTGCCATGATCTCGCGGCGTCTGAGTCCCAGTCCTACATCTGCTCCATTCTTCACAAGCTCCTGGGGCTTAGGGGTTCCCCACATGGTCAGCCTCTCAGATGGACTTGACCTCGTGAATTGACCACAATACCGAGAAATCTGCGGGAGTCCTTGGCCAAATTGCTCTGCCCAGCAGCTGCCTTGTGCAAAGGTGTTGCAAGATATCTGTCCTAGCAAGGTCTGGATGGCGGGACTTTCAACGACCAAAGAAAAGGACTCTGGTTTGTGGTTGGGAAAGCCAATTTCAGATTTAATTTTCAGCTCAACATCCTTTTCAAGAATCGAACTGACTGATGAACAAGATATTCAGCATATAGATGGATATAACTATTCACTCACTACCCAACGTCCCTTTGGACAAAAAATCGATCTGCCAGTCCGGCAAATCATCTAGTATCATTTGCCTGTTGGTTCTTAGGGGGTTAACCCTTCATCTAAGAATGAATGAGTAGGAAAAGGACATCTCGCCACTTCAGTCCTGCGCATTGATGTCTGCTCCGTTGCTCAACAGCAATGCTCCCAAGGATCCATGCCTCGATATATCAAAAATGGTCCTGAATCCCATGGTGAATCATCATATTTCAATATATGTCCCATCATTTCGTGGCAATTCTTCCCCATTTTCAGACCCAACGAGATTCGAAACGCACATAGTTTAACCAGCATGGTCCGACGGTACGGACCTCACATTCGACCCTACCGCAGCCTCACATTCGACCCTACTCCAAAATAACGTCATGCAGCCTCACATTCGACCCTACCCTAACGAAAATATGCAACCCTTCCAGGAAAAAAGGCCACTTTTTCCGGTTCACATTTGACCCTACCCCACTTTAACCTGCCTCAAACCAGAAAAATTACATTCATTGCTATCAAATCAACCAGCCCCCCTTGCACAACTACATTCATTGGTATCAAATCAACCAGCCCCCCTTGAACCATTACATTCATTGGTATCAAATCAACCAGCCCCCCTTGAACAATTACATTCATTGCTATCAAATCAACCAGCCCCCCTTGAACAATTACATTCATTGGTCTCAAATCAACCAGCCCCCCTTGAACAATTACACTCATTGGCATCAAATCAACAAGCCCCCCTTGAACCATTACATTCATTGGTCTCAAATCAACCAGCCCCCCTTGAACAATTACACTCATTGCTATCAAATTAACCAGCCCCCCTTGAACAATTAAATTCATTGGTATCAAAACAACCAGCCCCCCTGGCACAATTAGATTCATTGGTATCAAATCAACCAGCCCCCCTTGAACCATTACATTCATTGGTATCAAATCAACCAGCCCCCCTTGAACCATTATATTCATATCAAATCACCAGCCCCCCTTGAACCATTACATTCATTGTCTCAAATCAACCAGCCCCCCTTGAACCATTACATTCATTGCTATCAAATCAACCAGCCCCCCTGGCACAATTACATTCATTGGTATCAAATCAACCAGCCCCCCTTCAACCATTACATTCATTGGTATCAAATCAACCAGCCCCCCTTGAACAATTATATTCATTGGTATCAAATCAACCAGCCCCCCTGGCACAATTATATTCATTGGTATCAAATCAACCAGCCCCCTTGAACAATTACATTCATTGCTATCAAATCAACCAGCCCCCCTTGAACAATTATATTCATCGGTATCAAATCAACCAGCCCCCCTTGAACCATTACATTCATTGCTATCAAATCAACCAGCCCCCCTTGAACCATTACATTCATTGGTATCAAATCAGACAGCCCCCCTTGCACAACTACATTCATTGGCATCCAATCAAACAGCTCCCCTTGAACCATTACATTCATTGGTATCAAATCAACCAGCCCCCTTGAACAATTACATTCATTGGTATCAAATCAACCAGCCCCCCTTGCACAATTATATTCATCGGTATCAAATCAACCAGCCCCCCTTGAACCATTACATTCATTGCTATCAAATCAACTAGCCCCCCTTGAACCATTATATTCATTGCTATCAAATCAACCAGCCCCCCTTGAACCAATACATTCATTGGTATCAAATCAACCAGCCCCCCTTGAACAATTACATTCATTGGTATCAAATCAACCAGCCCCCCTTGAACCATTACATTCATTGGTATCAAATCAACCAGCCCCCCTTGCACAACTACATTCATTGGTATCAAGTCAACCAGCCCCCCTTGAACCATTACATTCATTGCTATCAAATCAACCAGCCCCCCTTGAACCATTATATTCATTGCTATCAAATCAACCAGCCCCCCTTGAAACAATACATTCATTGGTATCAAATCAACCAGCCCCCCTTGAACAATTACATTCGTTGCTACCAAATCAACCAGCCCCCCTTGAACAATTACAGTCATTGATATCAAATCAACCAGCCCCCCTTGAACAATTATATTCATTGGTATCAAATCACCATCATCATCATCATCATCATCACCATCATCGTCGTCATCATGATCATCTTCATCATCATCATCATCATCATCATCACCATCATCATGATCGTCCATCGTCATCATCATCATCATCGTCATCATCATCACCATCATCACTGTCATCATGATCATCATCACCATCATCATCATCATCATGATGATCGTCCATCGTCATCATCATCACCATCATCACCATCATCATCATAATAATAATAATAATCATCATCATCATCATGATCATCATCATATCCGGAACCCTCTTTTCGCAGCTAAAAACGCTACTTTCTCACATTCGACCCTACCCCAAAAGGGGGGTAGGGTCATATGCGAAACCATTAGGGTAGGGTCAAATGCGAGGCGCGTACCTGGTCCGACCGGTGGGAAAACATCAATGGCTTTGGTGGCGATTCTCAGTTGGACGCTTGAAATCCAAAGAGGCTGCCAAGTGCAACGCAGTGTCCTCCCACAGTCGGAGTCGTAGAATTGGACAGTGCCATGATGCGACTAACAACTGCTTTGAGTCTGAAAATAGGCAAAAAATAACACTCCAAATCCGAGATTTTCTTAAGATGTGTTGAGCATTTCCTCCACTGAAATGTCATAGTTTCATGTATTTTCCAGTTGATTTACGCCATTGACCAATCCAACTCACAAGTTTTGTTTCACAACGTCGTCGCACCCCATGGGCATCTCGGCTGTCCGGGGAAACCTGGACGGCGGTGTGTTTTACCACATGGGCTTGTCAGAAAATGTAGGGGATGCAGTGGCTTAACACCTCATCTTCTCCATTTTTTCTGTATTTTTCATGAGAACTTTGGGGCCCCTCAGTTTCAAACAAACCCATATGGGCATGCTTGGCAACTCAACAGTGAAGATGGTTCTTGCCTATAGCAACCCAAAAAAAGATGCAGAAAAGTGTTTCCAGGATGGTATAAATGATGATTCCCCCAGAATTTCCAGGCTTCCGTAACTTTTCCGATCGACTTTTGGGGGCTGCCTTTTGCTCCTCCTTTGATATCCATAGCTTCGAACAGCTCTCTCCAAACCGTGCCTTGTCCCCCAAGATGAGCCGCTGTGAGGCCTCACACGGTGGGCCCCTTAGAGATCACCAATGACTTTCCATGGGTAGATAGAAAATCATCCCCAAATGGTGTGTGGCGTTTGGTTTACCACATTACATCATTTTTGAATCAAAGTGTGTTGTAACTATATAATTGTATGAAGTTTTTACCCTTTCAAGAAATTTCATGGCCCCGCCTTCAACAAACCTTGTGCCACCACATCTGTCAGAGAACTTTCTGTCTCGGGCTTCCTCAAAGTTGCCTCAAGCGGGCTGGAGCGATACCAAAACCACCCAAACCCCCCCCAAATTGCTGATAAGGATTGCTACGGTGGATCATGATCCCATCAAGCCTGGTCTAAACCCACAGTCTATATTCTATATAAATCAACATTATGCTCAACCTGGAAATGCCACTTTTTTTCTGCCTCCAACACACTAAGAGTGGCACTGTCAACAGGAAGGGCCGTTCGCCCGGCCGCGGCGAGACCGTGGAGCCTCCTTTGAGGGCCGCTGTCTTGCTCAGATCACCTTCCAGGCCGCCAGAAGAATCAGCCATGACGGCAACCAGTTGTATCCCCGACATTCAACATTCAACTAATTTCAACTAGGGAAGACATAACCTTATTCAGTTGTTATGTATATACATTTAAATACACACATAAATATACATATGAATATACATATAAATAAATATAATTATATATGGGATATTATTCAACTAGTTGGATATGCTATCCCATATGTTCCATAAGCCTCAACATTGGGTTACTCTAATCCACGATTAGACAACTGGTCCCGGCTCCCACGGCACCTCCGAGTACAACTGCATGCACCCACGCCTGCGCCATGAACGAAAGGGGCACCTTGTTTTGTGGTATGCCCAATTTTCACCCATACAAAGTATGTCTTGTGAGTAAAGCCACCTTCCAAAGTCTTAGATTGGTAAATACTCAATTCCACCAAGTCTTGTGATCGGCAAACTCCCGAATTTTTGTGGCAAACACCTATAATTCTTTGTCCTCTTGCAACAGGTGATTTTCCTTCACCTGTTCACCCTTCGTAAAGCACCGTTAAAAGGGTGCCTTCAGACCGCCGTTTCGGCGGATCTCCGCAGAACAGCAATCCAATTCATCAGCACATCTCAGCAAGCAAAAGAGGTCATGAGCATCAGTATGTTCATGCATTTTCCCCATCCCATGCGATGGGTCTGCAACCTGCAAACATGTGAGTTGCGAACCAATCAAATGTGAAACAAAAACCTGTTGGTGGTGTCATGGCTCCTCTCAAATAGCTGCAAGGCCTAGTGGGAGTCCGGGACTCCATATATCTGTTTTCATAGCTGGCGAGAAGTCAAAGCAGCTGTTGCGCAAATTGCTGGCTTTCTCGATACTCGGAAAATCCCACTGAATGCATTGTGATTTTCTTGTCTCGGAGTCTGGACGTAAAAGCCCGTGAGACTATACTGTTGCTATACCCAAGCAATTCGTTCTTCAAGCAAACTAGTTGACAACTGCAACAGTTGATTTACCCGAAGCCAAATTTTGTAGAGGCAGGAAAACCCAACTAACACCGAAATACCATTTCAGTTGGTTTGCCAACTTTACCCTGGACATCATTTTCCCAACTTTCAAAGCCTCAGGACCTCACACTTTACCGGGAAACCGCAATGAAGCACCATGGAGCCTCCGCATGAGGGCCTGGCATCAATGTCAAATCTCACAAAGCACAGGATGCGATATGACGTGTTGCCCAGAACTCCTGAAATGTCACAGGATATTTTGATATATTATTGGCTGCCCTGATTCAGAAATCCACATATTTTTTGTCGTAGATTCACCATTTTGTTGTTGATTCGTGACCCCACAAACCGATGGTGACCCGGCACTCAGTTCCAGACCTCCCGGTAGGCCAAGGAAACCTCTGCGCCTGACCAAGGTAGCAGCATCTGGGCCACTGGCGATGTGTGAATACCTTCAAAAGGATCTATCAATATGTGGGTTTCCTAAAATGGGGCTACCTGCTACCCTCCAAATCATCCATTTTTTCATGGGATTTTCCATGAAATACACCATCCAGCTATTGGGGTCCCCCCATTTGTGGCCCACATGGCTCCCATCCCCAAATTCCCAACAAGATCTTCATCCCCAACGAATTGGTGAGTTCATGATACGAACCCCAGGATTCCCCTAGCTTGCTTGGTGGATAGCCCGATTTTGAGGTGTGGATGACCCACCAACGGCCATGAGTTGGGGGTCACAGAATTTACATATCCCATCTCCTATGGCCTATGGCTAAATTACAAATTCACTCTGGAGCAAGGTTCTGGCACCATGGCATTGCCATTTGGTTGGCTCAACCTCTCAACTATATTGGTGAGTAGCTTTCCCATTCATGTGGCTTAATTCATAGGAATTAGGTAGTATAACTCCTTACAACAACTAATCAACAAGGCTATTTTGTTCAAGGCTATTTTGTTCCTGGCTTATGCCGTTTGACCCATCCCCCCCAAAGAAGCCAGTCCCTTAGATCTTGGCCTGCAGCTTGCAGCAACAGGATCGCCAACTCCTCGGGCGATACAAACACATGGACGCGCCCCTACCGTACAAATCGGGTGATAGGGGGGTTGATAAACAAGTGGTGAATGGGTTTAAATTAATACAGTCCCTGCAAATAGGGCCCGATCCCAAACTCTGGGGCAAACCATCACACTTCCAACGTCAAGCACAAAGTAATTGCTGTTTGAACACCTAGCTTTTGGTGCCTCCGCTTGCCCACATATTCTTTTCCCTATGAAAATTGCCAAAAACTGCTGGGCATGGGCTCCCCTGAGCCCTCGAGCATCGATTGGTACAGCACCATCCAAGAACTTGTGTGAGCAGCTTGATGACCAAAACTGCCTGGAGAATGTCTAAATACATCATCCCTGTCCCATTAAAGCAGTTGAATGGTATGCAAACATCTTATGTGTATCTTTGAATCACATATATATATATATAGAGTATATCAATGTATATATCATATGCTCAACATGGTCCATGGTCCTTCTACAAACACGGACACCAAACCATGCGCACCTCAGCTGATCATATCTCCAGTGATGCTCCGGCTTTGGGGGCAAGGGGGCTAAAGTCCTGATCGAAGGGCTGCAGCGGCAACAATGCTAGTTCCAATGGGAAATTCATCTTCCAATGGGATGTTCACCAATAACAATTGGGATATTCATGGCATACTCGTGGTGACATTCTGAAAATGGGGTCTAGCTCCCAACATATGGCTTCTGCGGAAGGGGAAAATACGGATAAACCAGTGGATGGAATGGGGTAGCCAATTTTTAGACCAACCCATTTAGTTTGGGGTTTGAGGACTTCATCTTCGAAGGCACCAATGTTTGTGAAGCCCCACCCAAAACCCCCCCTCTTCTCCTGCTGATGTTCCCAGCTGCTGGACCTTGGACGATTTTGGATCAGAACAAGGGGGGTCTGAAGATTTTCCTGGTTTTAACATGTTTTAACATGGCGAACATGTTTTAAGAGCCATGAAGGACACCCTGGTCCAGGCCCCGGACTGCACATGGAAACAGCTCGGCTGGCTGTGGCTTCTAGGTCTGCGAAGCGCCGATGAGAAGCATAGATCCTATGCTTCGGGCAGCTAGCGACACGTGGTGATCCTGTGGTAACATGGCTGGGAAATCCCCAATGGAGGTTGGTAGCTGGAAATTCATCTACAGTAAGGGAACTTGTCCAGCTAGCGTATTTGATGGGTGATTCATCGGGATTCCTGGAATGGGATTGCAATGACCCCTGTGAAGCTAGCGCTAGCTCTGCTTGGCCAGTGGGATTAACACCGCCGACCAGAGTTGGTGCAGTATCCCTTTGAATCATTTCAAACGTCATCGCTTTTGTTGGCAAATCTCCAACTCTTGATGGTTACAATACCTACCCACTAAACATCACACAGACCAATGCTGGCTGTAGCTCAAAATGCACACTTCCTTTCCATTCAACATTCTTCTTTCGATCAATCTTGAGCCGACAACTAAGCATCATCTAGGGCTCAAAAAACCTCACAGGTCAATAGCTCGTTGATTCCAACAAGCTAAATGGCTATGAGTCAAAAGCCCTGGGATTTATGTTGATTTATGGATCTTCATTCCTGAACCATAAATGTTTGGTATTTCTATATAGACTATAGACTATAGGTATATTGATCCATTGATCCATGGCCAAAACCCCCAGTTTTTCCATGGCACCAGGGCGAATTCGGGTCCTGGGAGCATCAAAGGGGCGACACAGCTCCGCGCGAGCCATGATGGCGACATTGAAGACCTCGGCTGCGATGCGTCAAGATATCAACAGACAATGGTCCCATTGATGGTTTAAAAAAAGGATGGCAAAACATATCAAAGGATGGTAAAAAAAAGCTGACGTGTTCACTTCTGACCATCCTTATATTTTTTTTAACCCTGCAGACTATGGAAGTCTGTGCACAGAACCTTAGGCCTTAAAACAGTGCAACGATGAAGCAGAGAGGCATCCGGGGGGTCAAAATCCGAGACCCGGAAACTGTTTCGTGCCAGACCCAATGGTGGATGTTGGTACAGGCTTAGTTCCCATTTGATAATTCGAACCCCACAGAATTGCGGTAAAACACTGAACTCTGCAATTCCATCGTAGAGTTAGGGATGTATCTTATCCCTTAAATTGATCTATTGACATGTCTTAGAACCTTAAAAACCACATGGGCATGGGTCAAATCCTATGAAAAACCATATGACTGGGCGAATAAATGTCCAGCTATACCAGCCATAACCAGCCTATGACCATCCGGGTACCATCCGGGTACCAGGGTTTTCACCCATCACCTCGTGAATTTGATGGATCTCTTGGGCCAAACCCCCCGCCTCTGCCAGGTCAGACACGGCTTCACAGAACGGAAGGACCACGCCGTGGCTCCAAGGTCCTGATCCGGCTATAGGGGGGCACCAGCCATCTTCAAAGCGGGTTCTTGGTATCTAATGGAACTATTGATGATATCTACTTCGGGGATTTTCATGATCATCAATGTTTATCAATGATCATCAATGAAATTGCCTCCAAACATGGGACCGCCAAAGAAACAACCACTAAACCAGACTTTCTCGGGGCGCACAAACATGTGCAAGAAGAAATGGTAATATCATACTAGACCATCCAACTTTGCAGGTCAATATTCGACCATATCCCATGATTTGACAGCAGAAACACCATTTTGATCTCCTCGGATCGCGAGGGCGCAGCACTGCGTTGCCAATGTCGCAGCTCGACTCAACAGTGGTGTCAGAGTGCTTGCCGCCTGCGCTGGTGGTGCTGTGTTCCGTCCACTGAGCGACTGGAGTTGGCGCCTGGAAAGCGCGACGGGTTGTGAGGTGCTTCTCGAACTTTGCAAGAGTAGGCTGCATACTTTCCCTGACCTTGGCTCAAAGGTGAAAAATCACCAAACATCCATCAAAGAAACCAAAAAGCTGATGGTTATCTATGGTGATCTGCATGGTTATATATATATCTCAAGCCAGAAACTCAACTGCCAAATGTGGCAGCGTTTTTCGCTCTGTGGCAGCAACGATGCTGGAAAGCTTTCCCAACTCCGGCCTCGTTTCGCATGAACCATCTAGTTATTGGATGTTATTGGGCTACCCAATTTTGACCTCTACCCATCTCAATAATCTCAATAGAACACAACACTGCTGTCACAAGTATTCACAAGTGGCATCTGAAAGTTGCGAATTTGGCTCGAGGCAAAGTTTCAGTATCGCAGAAACGCTGGAACAGTATCATGGAAGCCTAGCAGTTCAGCAGTGATACCTGTACTGCACTGTTCAGCAAATGTCAAAGCTGGGTCAGTTCACAGGTAATGTGGTAAGCCCAATTTCAGAAAGCTTCAGTTTGGGGATGGCTTATATACGTACATTATCGTACATTTATATACCATGTCTGGTCAACTTCGGGATGGTACATTGTTGGGTTTACATGGGTTCACCACATTGCCCTGGTTTTCTTTGCAATCTCAGGCAATGAGGAAGGCCTGTAGCATATCTCTGTGCTCAGCGCCTTCCAATCTTGAAAGCGCCTTATGTGTCACAAGATGCTGTCACAGAAACCAATCATTTCCAGTTGTCACCTGAAATCAATCCTCCAACCTATGGCTATGACTCAAAATGATTATATATATATAACCCACAAATTAGGATGGATCCTTTTGCGGACCCCGCATTTGACCCCATGTCTTGAGTGCCAACAGCTTTCACAGGATCTCCGGAAAGAAGCTTCATGTTGTTGGCATCCTGCGACCGTTCTGCAATCTGAATAACGTATCCAACACAGCAGATATCCCCCTTTTTTGATCCTTTTGCATGTGGATGTTCAGCTAAACACTGGAGAGCTTTGCACTTGCCAACTGCGCTACAGCTTCGCCTGTGCCAGAGCGTCTGCAAGCTGTTCTGCTGCTGGCCCCATCTGGCTGCCAGTAGCCGCCTCAATCTATCCCTTCATCTGCCTGGTGCGCAAGGGAAATCACAACCAATCGCTATCTTTGTTGGAAACGCATCCTGAAGCCATCGCCCCAAAAAACTGAAAGACCATCCAGAAGCATGGGCCGGTCCTTTTGTTCTCTCTTCGCAACAATCGGTCGCCGGTCGTCCAATGGTCAGGTCATGTCTTGTCTTTCTCTAAAAACTATGGCTTTACTGGCCGGGCCCATGCCATCTCACTTGGGCACACGATTCATGAACCTCGTTTCAGGGCACTGTAAGTTGCAGCAGCATGTGATGCGTCACGATATGTCACGATATGTCATGGTTCGTCACTCTGCTCCAGTACTGTAGGAAAGCAACCACACAAAGCCAGCAGGCATCAAAGGGACCAGAAGCCTCAGTCATGTCAGAGTAGTGGACTGCCAACAGTTTCTGAAAAACTTCTGGAAGTCTATTGAAACTGAAAAGCCAGGCAAGAACTGTAGCCAGCCATCCGCAGTTCAAGCTGCATCATCCAAATCCTACCTTTGCTGCTTCGCTTGATGCAACTCCTTCCAACTTGCCACAAGCGACAGGATGTTGTCGTAGTACATCCAGAACTTGTTGAGCTGCGTGATCCTTGCATGGTGTCATTCCAGATTCTGGCAAATCAGAACTATTCAGCAAGCATCTGGATCAGAAAACTGCTCCGAAAAATAAAAATAAAAACTGCCGCCGAGTATCTTGATCCCATCTGCATAAACACCATCGCCCTCGGCCTTGACTGGCGCCTTCAACACCAAGGGAAGTGGACCTCAAAGCACACAACCAGGTTTGAACAAGTCCAGAAGACTCCAGAACGGACAACCCTAACGGAGCTCTCCAGTGCCTGAACCTTGCAAGCAAGTCACTCCCCTTGGTTCGGGCAATAGCGCCTCAAATGTCATCTCCAAAGAGAGGTGGCAAACCGAGCAGAAAACCAAAGGTCAATGGATGGGTATCACGGAAAATACACAGGAAATTCAGGTGAAACAGCTATATGATCCACTGACCACATTACCCAATATGAATAGTATCTACCTATTATTATAGTGGTCAATGGACATGAACATCTTCCCCTCGACAGCATTCCTGATGATTTTTACTAAAATTAAAACATGCTGTATGGGTGTGTATGAAAATGGGATACTCATAAAGTCCATCGTTTATCGTGATTTTCGGATAAAAAGTCGCGGTTTTAGAGTTTTAGAGACATTCCCATATTTGCAGACAAACCTAAATTGGATATAGTCGGTTGTATATCGCACTCTCTCCCGAGTCTATTAAATCATGTTAAATCACCATTGAATCACCCTTTCCAATGTTTTTCTTTACCTCACTTTCATCAGAAAATGTCCATCTCCCACCGCACCAGGCAGTTTCACACGTCCAAGTGACGGGACAACAAGGCACTCGTCGACGAGGCTTTCGCATACTCTGTGACACTTTGACCTGTGCGTTTTGCGGATGGCCCACGAGCTAAGATCATCTCAAATCCACGTGAACAAAGCCTTTGTTGGCGAAAACAGAGCGGCATTGTGGGGCCGATGATTCTGGATGGGCTTTGCAATCCTATCTATATGTACTCTATATATATATACACTATATTGTACTATATTGATCTATATTGTACTATAAATCTTGAATTAATAGATCTAGTACCAAACCAGGCTTCGTTTCTTCGTTCGAGGAGTATCTCCCGCCTGGATCCATCGATCTCACCGGGAACTGTAGCACGACACTGCTTGGGATTTGATGCTGAGGGCGGCCGCGGTGGTTTAACGGGGAATCAGGTGGAAAGGTATCTAATGTGGTAAGCCCAAAAATAAACCTCTGTTGGGGATGGTTGTCATCATTGGACTTGCCACACTGATCTATGCCCAGAACTAAAAGTGCCCTTCGGTGGTGCGCACAGCAGCTATGCTGTCCTTTTGTTGTCAACAGATTGCTGCCAGCACGGCGTTGTGAGATTCTGATTTCAAATCCAGGCCTGATAACCAGCTTCAAACGATGGGTCATCAGTGACATCAGTCAAATACACAGCCATAGAACGGCATCTCACTTGGGCACACGATTCATGAACCTCATTTCAGGGCACTGTAAGTTGCAGCAGCATGTGATGGGTCACGATATGTCGCGATATGTCATGGTTCGTCACTCTGCTCCAGTACTGTAGGAAAGCAACCACACAAAGCCAGCAGGCATCAAAGGGACCAGAAGCCTCAGTCATGTCAGAGTAGTGGACTGCCAACAGTTTCTGAAAAACTTCTGGAAGTCTATTGAAACTGAAAAGCCAGGCAAGAACTGTAGCCAGCCATCCGCAGTTCAAGCTGCATCATCCAAATCCTACCTTTGCTGCTTCGCTTGATGCAACTCCGTCCAACTTGCCACGAGCGACAAGATGTTGTCGTAGTACATCCAGAACTTGTTGAGCTGCGTGATCCTTGCATGGTGTCATTCCAGATTCTGGCAAATCAGAACTACTCAGCAAGCATCTGGATCAGAAAACTGCTCCGAAAAAAAAAAAAAAAACGGCCGCCGAGTATCTTGATCCCATCTGCATAAACACCATCGCCCTCGGCCTTGACTGGCGCCTTCAACACCAAGGGAAGTGGACCTCAACAAGGTTTGAACAAATGCACCAGAATCAAATGCCATATGTAATGTGTATATTAGATTATGTAATGTGTATAGTATATTATATTATATTAAATTATATTATTTCATATTATATCGTATTATATCATATTATATCATATTATATCATATTATATTATATTATATTATATTATATATATGTATGTATATGTCACTCAGTTACACGTACGTGTTTGCAAGCAAGTTGCGTCCCTTTGTTCGTGCAATTGCGCCTCAAATCTCATCAAAAAATGTTGAGGAGTGATGGGGTAGCAAACCCGTGTGTTCTTGTCAAAGTCCTCCCAAATACACAAATGCACACCATCATGCTGAATTCCATGAAGGATATCAAATCTGTGGGAGCAAGTATGAGTACGAGTATTTTACTGTGTCCGTGACAGTTCGTGTCATTAACAAGGCCTTTGACACCACTCTACTTGGGTGGGCCAAGTAGCCTCATGCTAAAAGAAGACAAGCCACGGGACAACAAGGCACTTGTCGATGAGGCTTGCGCATACTCCGTAACACTTTGACCTTCACAGCTTTGGAATCCACCGAATTCAACTGGACTAACTGGACTGAAGAAATGCTCGCAAGACCCGCCTGGATCCATTGAACTTCCCAGCAACTGCAAGAAACGCGCAACACCGTTTGGATTTGATGCTACATGGCAGCGGAAGTCCAAGTGTCTTTGAATCAAAACACCGTATCAAACCAGCACACAATTGGACAGGATTTGCGGATCCACACGAGTTGATTACTGTTTAGCGAAACCAACGGTACCCCAAAATCGCATCTCTCCCCGCGAAAAAAAAAAATCTGTGGGTCAGAGCCACGGCCCTCCACCCTTTGGTCTGCAAGTCGCACCTGCAACTGCTGCATTCTGCGGCGGCTTTTATCACTGAGCCAAAAGGCAGATGAGTCGTGGCGGCTCTATCGGCAAGTCTGATGTGTTTGAAAATCCTGCAATATGCAAACTCTTGCAAAGTTCACAAGGCTTCTTTGTTTTGCCATCATTTTTCTCCGCTCAACGTTCTTTCAAAGCATGCCAACTTGTGCTGTCTCTGGGAAACAGTGCTAAGAAGTCGAATAGTGACAAGCACTTCCCACTGGGAATTGTTGAAGCACCTAAAACCTGCCGGAGTCAGATGTGCTGAAAGTCAAATCAAATCAGCACCTTGGATCAGGCACTGAATCCGGATCAACTCTCGTATCTTCTCATCCACCCAATCTCCCAGTATCAATCACAGATTGCCCCACCCTTCAAGACTGGGGAATTCACGATCGGACTCCGAGGGGCTGTATGCTGGCGCAAATCCGCATGTCGATGGGACTTGGTGCAACTTGGTGAAACTTGGATGCATTGAATTTGAATCAACTGTCGCATCTTTAGAATCTTTAGATCAACCCAATGTTGCTCCAGCCTTCAAAGTTGCTCCAGTCTTCAAGCTCCAGATTTTCAGCAGAGTTGCTAGATTTGTGGTGTTTCATCCTCTGAGTTCTGCCTGAGGCATCGGAAAGAAATAGGAACCCTGCTGCGCGGGCGAAAACCCAAATTGCCGGCAAATTGATGTTCATCCCCCCTAAAGATGGTATACAGGTTTTGACCCATCCCCATTGCCTCACAGCCCATCCCAAGAAACTGTTTCCACTATGTCACTAAAACTCACTGTTTGCTGGAACAACATTAAATAGCATGAAGACACAGGCAAATGTTCCCAATGTACTTTGACCCTCTGAGATTTGCCAAGCTGCAGTAGCAGAAAAAAATCCATGTCCGAATGTGGTGAGCTGAAGCAAATGTCTGCAGCTGTTATGTCACCAAAGCCAGCTGCGGCCTGGTCGACATGTCCTCGTAGTCCACCAAAATCATCCAGCAAAGTATGGCAAAGTCATTTCCTTCTCTGGTGTAGTCCTCTACAAATATTCCAACCATATCTGATCATATTACTGTGTAAATGCAACCTCTCCTTCTCAGCACTTCAAGTGGCAACGACATCAATGGATCAGCGCAGGCTCAGTCACGTCACGCTTCATGGTGCTGCGGCAAAGCCCAGCCTCTCACAGGCATTGACTTGGCAGAATGCGAAACCCGGTGTTCTATTGGTTGGTTGAGAACGGGATTGTTCAATTCATGAATGATGATACTCCCCAATATACAAAGGGTAGCAATGGATAGTAATTGTAGAATAAAATTCTCTGAACGAATCATCAACCAACAGGGGATCTGAATACTGCTTACATGATTCACTGCTTGATGGCGACCCCTGCTTCACTCAAGTGCTCGTCATTTTACTCAGTCCAGAATGTCCATCAAAATCATCAAGATTTACAAGCGACCACCTGTTTACATCCTCATAACAAGGAAGTCTTGGAGTCACATTCACACACCACATGAGCTGCTGGCAGTAACATGTCAACAAACTTCAATGAAGGCGGAGTGTGAACCTCTTGCCTTCCTGGTTTGGTTTGATGGTCAGCGGTCTGCAGCCACCTCGGCAAATACTTCGAGGCTGAAAAATGAAGAAATGCACCGTCAAGACCCAAGCATGCTTCTGTCTGCACAGATTCATCATGTCAAGAGGGAAGTGGACTGATTCCCACGAAGGAACACGTTCCTCACCTTGGCTACTTGCAAAGGCAATTTGCTATTTTGCACCTGCAATCTACTAGACTGCGATCAAACAAAGGCGACTTGTTGCGCCAATCAAAAGACTCACGGAATTGTGCAAACTATCTGTGTTGCGCCTGGTTGGCACATTGAAACTTCAGCCAGTAGCATATCACTGGCATCCGCATCACTTGTGCTCAGAAATCCCACTCTTTGCGGAGCTTTCCTTGCTCGACTTTGAGGTCTTCTCCGGGCAGGCACGGCGAACTCGACGATGATTTCCGATCATGCCACCACCTGTAGCTTTCTGCAACATTTGCCCTGTCTCATCTTTCCAAACAACATAGGGCACCTCCCTTCCAATGTTGTTCATCACGGTGAACTGAACTTGGCCCTTCTGGCCGGCCAAATACCAGGCCTCAAGGGCTGTGGCTTGTCATGCAAAGTACTTTTGCCACGTTGTGCCGCCCTCCTCATGGATTCGATCTGCCAGCTGCTTGTCATCAGCATTCATCAGGCCCACATCAAAGTACCACTTGCCATGGGACTCCGGAAGTGGCACATACTGGTCCATCATGGCAGCTTTCAAGATCTCATGTGCTTTCTGTGGATTTGCACCCAATCCTTGAAGTTGTGGGATCACGGCCAAGCCACCCGAAGTGGCACCTTCACTCACCACCTTCTTTGCCACCTGGGACAGGAAGGAACCTTCCTGCTCCTGATGCTGGGTCAACCAGGCAGGAGAAGCTTTGGTGGCAGACTGGCTGCGGGCCGCGATGCCATGCTGCACCTTGTCCCATTGACCCTGCTGCATTAGGGAATTCAAGCAGGGAAATTCCATGGTCTCCATCACAACAGTCACTTCTCCGAGTAGTCCATCGATGCGGCTCACCACCCGGAATTTGGTGTAGGGAGGGTAAAGCACCTCATCCTCATTTGGATACTGGGAAAGATGCTGAATCTGAGCTGGAACAAAGATGTCAACCCCATTTCCGTTCAGACCCTCTCTGTTGGTTTGCGTTGCCATCAAGCATTTGTTGCAATGAATCTCAAACCTGAAATTGCCGCCAAAAGCAGCGGTCAATGTTTTGGAGGTGGACGAAAAGAAAAGCCTTCCCAAAGGACAACATTGCCCACCTTGTACTGTACTTTTTCCGGTCAAACTCTGGCAACTGGCATCCTCGCCACACTGTACCAACATAAGGCGTCAAAAGTGAGCCTGGCCTCTGCATGGCAGCAAAACTGAAAGGCTGCATCGTCAGGTTGATCAAGCTGCCGTAAGTTTTCAAACCTGTCTGGTCGTCCTTTCGCAGGGCCTGGTTCATTTGCTGGTAGACACTGTTTCCACTATAGAGGTGAATGGCATCCTTTTGCTGGTCCAACAAGGGCTTTGCAACACAACCTGGCAGGAAGTGATCCACAGGAGTCGACTGGTCTGTGACGACCACAAACTTCACAAAGTTTGGCTTCAATCCATGGTCAGCATCGCTGGGACCTTCTTCTTCTTCTTCTTCTTCTGCGATTACAGAAGGCTCGTCTGCCTGTGTAGCCTGTTTATGTTTTCCACCAATAAATGATACAAGGGCTGCTCCCAATGCCACTGGGATCGCCACTGGCCCTAGTGGCGAAGCAGCTGCGGCCACGGCAAAGCCGGCCGCAACTGCGTGCGCCAAGGGGTACTCAGGTGAATATGGCGTCTCGTCATTGCCACTCATCTGGAAATCTATATACACAGGCTGAAACCTTTGCGCCGCAAAGTGAATCAACACGCTGTGGGTTTGAGGCAGCAACACAGAATCAACGCATGGCTGTGAGAACTGCTTTGCGTAATTGGCACAAAACTCTTCCTACAAGAACCAGACCCCCCAGCAACCAGCGAAAACGAAGAACACTTAGTGGCAGCCCAAGGAACCGATGATTTGATGAATGGATCAAGCTCTTCAGCCAATGCGTAACCACGATCAACTGCCTCCACAGCTACCCACCAGCTCATTCCAAACTCAGCTTGGTTTCAAGTCCCAGGCCTGTCACCAGTTGTTGCTTCTGTTTCAGATGGTGAGGGACCAGTAGATAGCAAGGCATTCCTTTGCCTGACATGACACATGAGGTGGGAAGATGTCAATCAATGTCCCTTTCGTGGATTGTTTCTGGAATGCCGTGGATTGGATCCCTTGAGATTCGTTTGGCATATCAAAGCTGTGCCTGTGGCGGTCATTGTTCGTCTCCCTACAGCACAACCATAGATGGAAGAGATCTCAGGGGCGACAGCATTGGGGATATTGCCATAAACCAATTCTGGGACTACCCCATTTCGAATGCGTTTCCGACGAAAATACGCTACGAAGTGGTTTCAGCACAAGTACGAGCCTCATTTCTTGGGCGATCTGCCAGAACCACGTCCAGCCTGGGATCGATTAACTGATTGAATGTTATCAGTTACGAACTGGACCTCCTCCCATCAACAAATGGATAGAATAAGATCTAGGTGACCCAGTCATCTGATATGTCATCATCGGGGTTGGACATGCTAAAATCATCTGAAATCCAGTTCCTGACCTCTTGCAATGATAGGGCCCGTGATGGTGGGTTTTCAACTACCCAAGTTTGTAGGAGCTGCTCCGGCTTGGCAGCTCCAACCTCTCCCCGCCACTTCAAGGCGGAACGCTTTGGTTTAGGTGTCCTCGACGCATCAAATGTCAGTGTTCTGGTCCTCTGGGAAACAAATAACCTGCTCAGAAATCCTGTTGTTTCATGGGAAAACCATCAAATATTTCGGAACTTGAGTAGGAAAATCATCCATGGACTTACACATGAAGTGATGTTCCATTGGCCGTGCTTGTTTGCCAAGGCCCTACAACCCACCTGATGATCTTGAAGCTGCCCGGAGTCATTGACCAGCTTTGCCGGATCGCCGCCGGAGTCTGACAGGGCGATGTCAGGCCATGTTCAAATCCAGGTCCAGCGGCTTGCCATCTCCATCACTTCAGGAAAATTGATGAAAATTGGAAAGCAAATTTAATATGGGTTTGTCTGAAAATCGGGTATATTCCCAATGAAATAGCCATTTAATAGGGATAATGATCAGCAAAACCATTGGGTTTAGGGGTACACTATTTTCAGACACACCCATATATGTACAAGATTTACCAAGTAAACCATGGTAATCATAGTATATAATCATGGTTAATCCACAAAAATCCGCCCGCACCGAAGGTGCTGGGGCGTGATCTTCCGGATGGCACTCGTAAAAGGTTACAGGTTTACCTGGGGGGGGGGTCCCATTTTTCGGCCAAAACCTCCTGTTTTTGATAGGTCGTGACGCTCGCCTTCAAAAAACACTGTAAAAAACAGTACGGAAGACACCTGTTCGTGAACGCGCCCGTCCAAAATCGGCAAGCGAAAAGTGAAAAAAACCCGTGTTTTTCAACTTTTTGACCTCAATTTTTTGGTTTGCAACATCTTTTTTTGCGGTTCCGCAGGTGGCCGGGCCCGGAGGCGGATTTTTGAGTTTTTGGACCCGTTTTCGGACTGATTTTCGTCGTTTTGTGATAGCAGAAACACTGGTTTTTACAGTGTTTTTCTGTTTTCTGCATGCTTGACGGCTAGCTTCAAAACTTCCAAAAACCTCGTAAATTACGCTGTTTTATGTTACGGTGTGAATGAAAACATCGTAAATACCAGTGTTTTTTGACGTTGGTTAAAAAAACACTGTAAATTACAGTGTTTTTGGCCACCTGACCCTCAAAAACCATGGTATTTGCAGTGGTTTCTGCTTCTCACCGCGCAAAAACACTGTAAATAACAGCAATTTCGCCGTTTTTTCATGTTTTTCGTTATTTTTGAACTGCGTTGGTCCGCTATACATGGCTATCAAATTCTTCGCGTTTTCTTTTCCGACAATCAGTACTTTCGGATGTTTTTGGTCTCAATGGCCGACATCATTGGCAGTTACGAGCGGCTGCCCAACGATGCGGTGCGGGCGGTTGCCGTCGCGAAGCGACGTGAATATCCACAAGATATCCATCGAAATGGGCAGCCCCCACCTCTTTGGCCTGGCCCGGTTGCAAGGCGTTCACCACTTCATTGTAGATCTTGGAGTCGGGATCAAACTTTGCCTGCAGAATTCACTGCCAAAAAAGCTGGGATTCATTGGATTTATGCTGCTGGATTGATGATGTTTGATGATGAACTATGATGATTTATGCACCCAGCAGCAAGTCACAAGTGGATGGCTGGATGGATGGATGGATGGAACAGTTTCTGCAGAGCCTCCTGCATTTCCTCCATCAGAACAATGGCCTTGTCGATTTCACCACCTGCAGAGACGTGGCTGGCGTCACAGGGAACGACCATCACGGGAGGTACAATAGGTGGCTAAGAACCCCGGGAGCGAGCTGAGGCTAAGGTTGTTCAACTCTCAGCAGTGCCTGTTTCCAATACCTTTGGAACAAGCAGTTTCTTTAAGTTGTTGGAAGGATGTGGGATGAATCCCTTCCTACGGAAAGCACAGGAGTCAATTCTTTTTGTTTCTGATTTTGCGTACACAGAAGGAGGGTTTCGCGTTCGTTGGCACAACCTCCCTCAAGTCCATACTTTCAAGCAAGTTGTGTACAAAGGGTTCTAGGTTTCATCTCTATGCAGACCCTTCACAAAGAGTGGTGAGTTTGTCATGCTTGTTTGCGCGCAAACTCGTAACAGCACTGGTAGTAGCTGCCTCTTCTACAGGCATCAATCACAGAATTGAAGGCGATCCCATCCGGTTGGCTCTTGCGACCTTGGTGGCTGAATGCTACGGGATTTCTACACGGCAAAGAGGCTCGTCTTGTTTCCATATATTCCATGCATATTCCATGCTTATATGGTGATTTGCACACTGTTAAGTACTGTTACAACAAAAGGTAATGATGTATCTTCAAAAAAAGAAGAACCTGCTACTGCCACAAATGAGCTACAAACCTTGCAGTGTGCGGAGGAGTTGCAAAGCGGCTTCCCACGAGCCGTCCGCACACCTGAGAATGAGAAATTCCATGATCTTGTTCGATGCTATTTGACTCCAGGTGATAAAACGTAATAAGTTCAACGCCCTTGAAGCGAACCAAGGAGATCCGGTGGTTCTCCATCTGCCACAGAGGTCGACTGCCTTGATTTTTTGGTTCCACCAGTCAGCTGAAACAACTTCTGCGTGAAACCATGAGGGACTGGCCGATTGGCGAACATCTTGGATGTCGCCTGCCGCAGCAGCATCTTCGGCACAGATCCCAGAGCATGGGGAAACAAAGGTCATGAAGATTCTCTCTTTTTGGTTCCATGGAGTGTTTTTAAAATTGCATTTTATGCCACAAAAAAAGTGCTGCAATAGGCTGCGAACCTTCTCCAAGGAAACCAACTTCTGCTCCAACTGGTCAACCCAGTCCCACTGTTTCGCCTGGAAAAAGAGTCCGAGATGCAACCAATCGGAATACCGGGAGCGAAGACCTGCTTCTGAAGGTATCATCCCAAAGTTTTGGAGGACTTATCTCCGAGTTTTGAAGGAATCATCCCCACTGTTGAAGGATGCATCCCCCATTTTGCAGGTTTCATTCCCAACTTCTTGGATTTTCTGCGCGTATTTTCCCACCAACAGCAGTGTTTCATACACTCCTGACCTGCTGACAAGCTAAAAGTGCCACTTGGTAGCCCTTCACACTGGGCTGCAGTGATACCTGACCGCACCATGGCTGACCAGCCAGGAAAGACTTTGTGGGAACCTCCCAAAAAAAACTAGCTGGATGAAAAACAAACAGCATGGTTTCAAGTTTTCAGCCACATCTTTTGCGAGATCTTATTGCAGTAGCATCCCAATCCTTTGGCAGCTTCAGCCCTAAACTCAACCATCACCTTCTCCATGTCGCTCAAGAGCGCCAACACCCACTTCCACTCTCCAGCTGCCTGCGCAGGGGAGATGACCTGAAAGGACCTTCTCAACGTTGCGACCAAAAATGACAAGACTCTCTGAGTCTCTGGTCTTGCCCCCCGTTTGCAGCAAAATATCGAGCCATGGTAATCATACCTGTCATACCGATCTGATTTTCCAAGGCCGGTTTTGAGCCTGCCTTGCAAGCCTCCAGCAGGGACTCGTGCACAACAAAAGCAGTCTGCTGACCCTCCTAGGAAACTCAAGGGAGTTTAGTTTAGAGAACATGATATCTGGCTACTATGAATCAAAAAGCGGTAGCTGGTAGCAATTTGTGAGAACATGATATCTGGCTATCAATCAGAAAATGGCACCAAGAGACCCACAGGTTGGCTTTGTATCTTAAAAATGTGGTAACAAGGGACAGACAGTGTGCCAAATCAGTGGAAGTATCAAGCCATCAATCCTAACTGAGTTTTGAGACCTGTGTGCGGAGCATATCTCTCCAGAAGAACAAGGCCTGGGCTGTACAGTTTTGCATAGCTAGAGTTCAACACACCACAACAATGGACAAAACACCGGTGTACAATCAGTATGGCAAATCTATCGTACTCTGGCATAGCTTGCTGATAGCATACAACACTCTGAGGCGGAGCATGGCATTGCAGAGTATGTGACAATACATACAATACAAGAGATGGCATAGCCGGATATCATGGACAAAAAGACGGAAAACTGCAAATAGACAAACCTGGACAAACCTTCAAATGTGGACGATGTTAGCAAGGCAGTGCGAGCAAATGAGCGAGACAAACAGCCGAATATTCGAAGTACATCATCCCTGTTGCATCACCAACCTTTTGCCCTTCGAAATGATCCACATATGCCATCTGCGAACCTACCACGTAGCTTAGCTGTGCACCCATTGCCAGCCACCGGTTGAACTGCAAGCCAAGACCAGTGCCTGACAAAAAGGACTCATTTGCCGAGTCTGGCCGCGGCCCAGCTATGCCTTGCCTCGTAGGTCTCCATGTCTGGTCGTAAGTCAGTTTCAATCGCCTCCTCCAAACTTTCAGCTGAGCTTCGAAACTCACTCTCTTTGGCTTTGACAAATCCACTGAAAGCAATTATCGACCCTGAGGATCCTGGGGGTGTACTAAAAATATCTAAAAATAGTTCCCTTATCCAATTCTGGCAAAACTCATGGAAAAACTCACTTCCCATTCTTCCTACAACTTTCAATGCGTGGCCTCCATGAGGGTGATGGCCTCTTCTAAGCCGTCATTGCGCAAGCAACACCTGATGATCGCACCTCAGGTCACATCCTGATGCGAAGCAACACATTCGAAGCAACTGAAAGGGAAGTTGAAACAAGTTTCCCGGCCATAAAGCGCTCCATCCGGGGAATGCCCTCCAAGCATATTACAAGGTCAGTGTTCAGAAATTTACCCAAATTCACTCTGCACTCTCACCCCACGCCTCTTCTCTGCGACTTGGCCACAAGTTGAAGGGCTTCAACCTGGGTGCACCGTCAGCTCCAACGGACTCCAACGCAGCAGGCCACTGTTTATTTCAAGGCCCCCGGACCCAGCGGAAACTCCGCTCTAAGATGTGGATGGCAGAGCTGCACGCCACCTTGGCCAAATTCGACACATTGAATTTGGGAGCTGGGCGGCTGGGCTTGTTTGAAAATAGGGGTATAGTATGGTTGTAGTACCCCCAAAATCCCATTCTTTGGAAACTCATCTTCCTGCTGGAAATTGTCATTCTGCAGTATCCCTCTTTCATGGACAAACCCCTTCTATGAATCTATAGAATCTATAGTTTTGAGACAGACAATAGCTGGAGTCTCGGTTGTTGCACAGGGCACCCATCATCTTTCAGGCAAATCAGGAAGTCTGAAGGGTTTTGGAACGTCGAAAAGGCAGAGAGCCTTTTCTGAGTTTGGCACTTTGTCTGGAAAAAGATCTCGCTGGGCCATGCCTTCAATCAGCCTTAGAACCAGCTGCCACTCGTCCTGGTTCAAAACTCGCTGGCACAATGGCGGAACGTGGAGCTACGGAGTTCTGCAGGCTGTCCTGTCTGCACGATTCCAGTTGGTCTTGATAGATGAATGCCTAAACCAACGCAAAGGGTGACTGATCAGCATAGGCATGGGATGGAATGAGCCGAGTCAGTGGGGTACCAGTTCACTCATCAAAGTTCTTCATTAAATTAATTAAACCATTCATTTTGGGTAAAAAACATTTTGACCCATCCCCCCACATTTGAAGAAGTTCCTCAGCTTCAACAGCCAACTGCCAAGCCCGGGACATCCAAATTGGCACGCAATGCTTCCGTGATCTTCGAATTCCTGCAGGCCGTTTGGTCCATCATTCCGTTGCTAACAGACATGACAAGAACTTCGGGGTGCAGTTGGGATGAAACCATGATAGTCATCCTCAGAAGTTGGGATATAACCCCTAGGCCCTACATAACTAACTATGGTTATACATAATATAACATTCGATGTAATTATATATATATATATATCCACTTATAGCTGGAACTGCACCCTGAAAGTATCCATTGAAGCACCACCACCCTTGGCCCTCCAGTGGCTTCCTGCTCTTATTGCCGCACACACGGAGGGCAAGGGAGTATTCTTCCAACCCCGGCGTAGGACCCCTCGTCTGCATTGATCTCAGCAAAGCAAGAACCTGGCAGCAAAACAGCAGAAATTCAGCTGGTGATTGTAACAAACTTGGAATATGATATAGTTGGACCAAAATGATACAGCAATAGCAGCACTAAAAACCTTAGTTGTTTGGATGTTCCCAAAACTTGAGGCAGGCCTTATGTGATTCAATCTCGCTTTTTCAACTCTGCCCCATACACCGCAGCCTCCTGCCACCGTTCAGCATGTTCCAGAACTTTCAAAACGGCCTCGAACAGTAAAAGATTGGGCTACAGTGACACTCTATCCCAATCCCAACAAAAACAGCTGTCAATAAATATCTCATGATTTTTGGTGACATTCCATTGGCGTGTTTTCCCGGCCACATTTGTGGCAGGCCTTGTGAGAGATCATCCCCTGTTCCATCCGCTCACCGTGGATGTCATCTAATAAAGCAATGGCTCGTCTCCAGGCACCTACCGGGAAGTGGATGGAAATGGGAACTGAAAAATAACACCTTCCTGGAATGTGAATGTAAGAACGTAATAGGACAATATAGGACATAGGATGACATAGGATGACATAGGATGACATAGGATGACATAGGATGACATAGGATGACATAGGATGACATAGGATGACATAGGATGACATAGGATGACATAGGCTATGACCCACTAAGAAATAACCATCACAAGGAAAACTTCCGGATCACCCCAGCCGCCGCCACTGCGGCCCGCACTTCTCCCGCAGGATCGAATGGCGGCTAAGTACACCGCGGTGCTTCGAGGGATTCCTGGAGCATTCGGGAAATGTCCAACGATGTCTTCGTTGAATCGCAAAAATGGACCCAATTCTTGCGGGGAAAAATCACTTACTGGTGCGAAACCTAGGGAATGGGAATTCCTGATCCAATCAATAAGTATTTTCATAATCATCCGATTTCCCCATTCGCTATCCCTAGGTTTAGCACCAGCTGGGTTTCATTTTGATCCGTCGCTGGGTTTCACAGCCACCCACCTCTTTCACCCATTTCTGTCAAGGCAGCCAGTGCCACCGTCCAGAGCTTCCGGAAGCAGCAGGCTTCTTCGATGGCTTTTGCATACCTGCAGAACTGGAAGAACTGGGATTTATGGATGTGAAGAATCCCCCAAATACTGGTATCTATGGGTATTGATCCATAGCCAACTAAGAACTAGCGTGAACTGGTACACACAGGGCAGAGTCTTTGATGCATTGGGTCTGAGACGTTTGCCAAGGTATACATAAATGCTTTGTTTCGGACAAGTTGATTTCAACGTTCAATATTTGCAAAGGTATCTGTCTCAGAAAAATACCAGCTCATCGCTCTGATGCTAGAAGATTATATTGCCACATGCACACAACTGCGCTTTCTTCGTGTCTAGCAGCTCTTGCCACACAAAAGACCTCCAGGACACGTGCTTAACCAAGATACTGTAGATAATAACGCATTCTTGTCCAGAAAATTCAATCGAGTCAGTCACACTTCAATAGGTGTTCTCCCGCTTTGTGTTGTAAAATGTGTTGCAAACCATCAATCAAACATGTTCCACTGGAGATAGCAGCCAGCAGCCAGTGCAAAGCTTGAAGCTTCCGTCCAATTCTTCGGTGATATGTGTTTCTCCAAGAATGGATGATACAGTCCCCAAAAAAATTATCCGTGAACCCCGAAATTGCCATGTCGTAAAATCATGGATTTTACAATCCTTGTTCGAGTGGGATGAAAATGATGATCAACCCTGGATTATCCACGGCTTGCGGCGCACTCGGCAGAATCAGCCAGGTGCCCCCCAAGGCATAGGACAGCAGCAACATCAATCCATTCTTGCCTGGTTTAATCATCAAAAATTGGGGAGGTTAAGCATCAAAAAATTGAGTGAATTGGCATCCAAAACTTGGATAATTGGTGAAGTCATCAGGGTACCAATGGGTCCACAAATAGCTGGTTATCTTGAGTGTTCGCTCATCCATTTTTCGTTCTCGTTTGGGTCTGCAAAAACTCAACTTTGAGACATACAGTACCAGGGTGGGTTCCGAGTGAGGGATGTGATCAAATAACTTCATTCACAAGACAGATTTCTTGGACCATTTCGGGATTTGTGAATTCCATCCCCACCAACAGTTTTAACCCAATTGGGGATGATTCAAACATATACCATCGCTCACGGAGCAAGATCAGCCGGCTCAGCAACCCTACGCAGCTCTACCTGGTTCTTGGCCTTCGAAGTTCTTGCAAAAGTTGTGCCTCTCGCGGGGCGGAAAAGGCGCATCACTGCTGATGGAAATGTGTTGGATGGATATTCTTGATTTCCCAGCGCACCAGAGGGGAGGGAAGGGAAGACTTCAAGGAAAGACCCCAAAAACGAGAGAATAAAAGAAAGAGCTATGCAGCTATTCACCAACTCAGTTTCTTATGCTGGGATCAGCAGAATCGCTAAGGTCAGGCCTTTCCCTGCACAAGATCTTCACTTTGATAGGCTGAGCGTCCCAAATGGAGACTTCTGCCAACCTGATTCCAGGCAGCAAAGTAAAAGAGACTCAATGGAGTCATGTCATCCCTCAGCGCTACAAACACAGCTATGTACATATCATATATATCGTATATCTATATATTGCACATATACAAATGTGTAAAGCATGATGTGTTGTGCAAGGTAGGATCTTTAAAAAGAATAGAAACCAACCAAGCAGGGTCAACATGACTCCTCCTACCTTCGATTCTCCGACCAAAGTGTGCATCTGCAGCGATCCACAACTTGACTTTGTCTGAAAATTTAGGAGTGAACCCCCCAAAGGCGGGAAATCTGTCAAAAATATCAAAATATGTCAACATTTGCAATTTTGGGCTTCTAAATCCCATTCTTGGCAAAGCCACATGGAATAACGTCAATTACTTCAACTTCACATGACTCTATTCGAAGCAAAATAGGTTGATGGCGACTGCACCATTGACATCCACTCAGATCCACTGCGGAATTCAAGGCGAGCACAGAAGAAAACTTGCAATGATTGTGAGACTGTCAGCAAACCACAGAGCATTTTCACAAAAAGGGCTCAGCAGCTCAGCCTTTTCCAGCTTTTTTCGAGTTGGTTGAGGTCACTTTAAAAGGCGGGAAGCTGAAAACAACGCCGCCGGTGCAAAACCTTTCAGGAAAGGGATACGGCCGAGCCAAGTTCGGCAGCTTCCAAGGCTTTCATCCTGGCAAGTGGCGCGATGACAACCACGCTGGTGGTTGTACAAAGCGAGGCAAAGACACAGGGGGACTCTCCAAGTGTAACAACTTCGAAATGTGCAGAAAATACCAAGAAAATGATGAAGACTGTTGCGCCATTGCAAAAAGCCGTCCTCTTCACTGCTTTCATGAAGCGACCTTTTGGTCCAATCTTTAATCCACTTGTCAGCGCAGCCAGCTCTGTCTCACCAACTCCAGTCAACTCCTGCAAATTTCTCAGTCAACTTGACGTTTTCCTTTATTACACTCTGGAAATCAAATGTGGCAATGAAAAGGTCTCCTGTTGAACAAGAAACAAAATCATTCACAAATAGACAGAGATATACAAAGATGAAGAATTTTCCGTTGTCATCTTAGATTGAGAGTACCTCAGGTTTGCAGTTCCATCTTCAGTACCTGCCGTCACTCTGCGCCTCGGGATCTGTGACGTCCTCCTCATTTAGCCGCGCCAGAAGTTCTTGGGGCAGCTGCAGCTCCTGCTCTCTGGCGGACTGGTTCTCTCATATCAACATAGCTGGTAAATAAAACTGCCTGTATACTGGTTAACCATGTCTAAATGGTTCATAATGGCTGGGACTCTTTTACAGTATATTGATGGGTATCTTTTTAAAACCATCTTTTCAACATTGGCCATGTAAAAATGAAGGTTTAAACAACTACCCATCTTCATTGGCAAAAAAGACTCAGAGTTCTTCCCAGGTCCTCACACCATGTCTCAATGGTGGATTTCTTCACCGTTCTGGAGACCTTCCAAGTAGCCACATGAACGCTTCACACGTTGGGGTTCGAGGAAGTGGATTTCTGCTGAGAAATTCCGATTCCGCAGATTCCACGACAAAGCACCACCTCTTGAGACTCTTGAGGCCGAACCTCGACGATTTGACTCCTGGGTAACAAATAAGAGGGCTTGGATGGTTTCATAACGTTTCATACCAAAAGGATCCAAAAGGAAAGTGAGAAAGACTTTAGGTGGTGGAATATTTTGAGACATGACATACCATGACATACCCATCAACGATAAGACGGTCCTCTTGGTCCTCAGCTGCTTCAGAATCTGAGTCTTCTCCGTCTCCCACTCACCCCAGGCCATACCTGGTGGAGGCAATCCTTTTCGCAAAACGAGGCGCCATGTTGTGTGGACTGCAAGGGGAAGGAAGCAACGGAAATTTCGTTCTAAACCCAAACAAAATTATTGCACCAAAACGATCTCTCAGAAAGTGTTCCAGGTGACTTTTCTCGTCGAATTAGTCGAATTTACCCATCACGACTGCATTTGCCGAAGAATTGCCATGAAAATCACGAGGTACCGAAAACGCCATTTTGGGGGTTCCCCAACTTCGACCCAAATCCAAATTCTTTCGGAGACACCAGCCTGGTGTTTCAGCTAATCTCAGTGCATCATCGACTTCATGCGAAGCCGTGGCATGTAAGGCTGACCTCCACCGGAATTCCTCTGCATTGTATGATATCATGATATGATATGTTACAAGAAATATTGCCTATTTCCGCAATTTAAACTTCAAAACAAAACCTCATCAAACTGTGGCACCGTCACAGAACCTGCCAATATTTTCACAAATGGTTTCTCGCCTCATCTTTTGCAGGGCATCCTGGCAGAAACAGTTTCTACTAGTGGATTCCCCAAGGGGAGGGAAAACGTAAACCGGCACAACCCAGCCCTCAAGTCCTGAGCTTCCTGGCGATTGCCTGGCAAGGAAGGAACCGATGAAATCTTCCAGTGACATTCAACCTGCAAACGGCGCCTTGGGAACTCCTCGGTGCTTTTGACTCAGCTGGAGCCTTGATTCTTTCAACCTCGAGGACCAAACAGTTTGCGGCACCAGAAATTGGGAAAACTATGAAAAACTCGGTGGTTCCAGACCTCGGTGGTACCATTTTGACCATTTGGTGCACTGTACAGTGGAGCACTCCCATTGGCCTGGACGGAAATAGTTGGTCAATGGGAAACAAAAACTACATCTGTGACTTCAAGAGCAATTATGAAACATACCCACATCTTGAACCCTTAGGTTGTACAATACAAAGTTCCAAGAAATCAGCAAGAAGAGCCGCCTGACCAACCATTTGCAAAGGAGGCATTGCACCAGCACCACTGCCACGTAACCAGATTTTGTGAAGGTTCGCTTCTCCCAACTGCAAGACATCTTTGTTTTTATCCAGTCTTACAAAACAGGTACCATCTTTGATGCTCTCAATGATCCCTTGTTGACCATTCAGCTGTTTGGTTGTACCTTTGATGAGGACTTGGTCACCTGGTCGGAAAGTGCTCACCGGAGTCTCCGGTAACACCTTTTCTGTCGCTGCCGGAACTTCTTTAGGTGCACCAGTTGCGCGTGCCTCTGCATATGGTGGACTTGGTTTGGAGACACTTGGCTGAGAGTCCTTGGAATGGTTTGGTCCACTAGGTTTTGATGCTCCAAAATATTCCAGGCTCGGCATGTCATCAGCATCACTCATCTGACCGGTCCCATGCTCAGCAGTGCCGTTGGTGATTTCCCCAACGTACTCCAAAGGTGGGAGTTCATCGTCATCATCATCTGGTGGAGGAGGGGATGCATTTCGATCCACATGTGTCGCTTTGGCACTTGCCACTGCATGATTGGGAATGCCTCCCACTTTGGTGTTGATTTTTTCGATGTTTTCAGGTTTCACCGCCAACATGGACCCTGATTTGTCCAATTTCACTGGCAGTCTGCCTTTTGATGCCTTTTGAAAGCTTTGAAGCGTTCCTGTCTGCCCATTCAAAGCTGTCTTGGACAAACCTTTCAAGATCACACTGTCACCTTCTCTCAGGCTGATCCCCAAAGATGCATCTGCACCAACATATTCCAAAGGAGGCATGTCATCATCGTCATCGTCTGGCGGAGTGGCCTGCGTGGCAGCTGCAGGTGGCACTCCGACGCCAGCATACTCCAGCGGGGGCATGTCATCATCGCTGTCAGCCATGTCGAAAAACGGATATGTCGAAAAACCGATGTGGAAACACCAAAAATTTGTAAGTTCATCGAACATCGGTAAACCCAATTCAACCCATGGTATTCAAATATTCGAATTTAACGGGATTTCCCATTTCCTGTATAATCAACATTTTTTGCACCAAAAATTGACGGTTTGTGTGCAACATGTGACATGTTTCGATTTTGAGTGTACTGCCTTGCCTTGTGGACAAACGCAAAACTGCGCAGAAAATGTTTTTCCATGATATATGCATATTTTGATGCCCTGCATGCAAATTTAATGATTGCCAGATTTCGTTTCGCAGAGGCCAACGTGTAAAACAACCGCTCCACTACCCCTCACAGGTCAATGAAGTGCCCACTCAGGTCAATGAATTGCCCTGTTTCACAATGGATAGCTGCTCTCAATGGCATGAAACGTTGAAAAAATCATCAAATTAATCAACATTGTGCGTTGCAAAAAATGCCAAAATGGTTTGCCACTACATTTGCAACATTGTCATCATCATGTCGCCAAAAGAACAATGACCATATATAATCGAAGGAAGTTTAGACGTCAAACTTCCGACAATATGGACAGATGAAAAGCAGAGGTGATAAGAGTCAAAGAAGAGAAGAGAAGAGAAGAGAAGAGAAGAGAAGAGAAGAGAAGAGAAGAGAAGAGAAGAGAAGAGAGAAGAGAAGAGAGAAGAGAAGAGAAGAGAGAAGATCAGATAAGATACAAGATAAGAGAAAAGAATAAGATAAAAGCGAAGATCCAAGAGAAGAGCCACCGCTAAGAACTCTCCACCCGCCGAGCAACCTCTCCGCTCCCATAGAAGAGCAACTCCATCGACCCGAGCATCTACAACTCTCCTCCCCCTCCTCTCCCCTCTCCGCTCCCCTGCTCCTCTCCCCTCTCCTCTCCCCTTCCTCTCCCCTCCCTCTCCCCTCTCCTCCTCCCCTCCCTCTCCTCTCTCCTCTCTCCTCTCTCCTCTCTCTCCTCTTCTCTCCTCTCTCTCCTCTTCTCTCCTCTTCTCTCCTCTTCTCTCCTCTTCTCTCCTCTTCTCTCCTCTTCTCTCCTCTTCTCTCCTCTTCTCTCCTCTCTCTCCTCTTCTCTCCTCTTCTCTCCTCTTCTCTCCTCTTCCCTCTTCTTCTTCCTCTTCCTCTTCCTCCCCCTCTCCTCTCCTCTCCCCTCCCTCTCCTCTCCTCTCCTCTCCTCCCCTCTCCTCTCTTCTTCTCTCCTCTTCTCCCCTCTCCTCTCTTCTTCCCTCTCTTCTCTCCTCTTCTCTCCTCTTCTCTCCTCTTCTCTCATCTTCTCTCCTCTTCTTTCCTCTTCTCTCCTCTTCTCTCCTCTTCCCTCCTCTTCTCTACTCTTCTCTCCTCTTCTCTCCTCTTCCCTCTTCTTCTTCCTCTTCCTCTTCCTTCCCCTCTCCTCTCCTCTCCCTCTCCTCTCCTCTCCTCCCCTCTCCTCTCTTCTTCTCTCCTCTTCCCCCCTAACTATAATACAATATAATATAATATAATATAATACAATATAATATAATATAATATAATACAATATAATATAATATAATATACTTCAGGAGGAACAAAGTTTATGCTTCTTGAAAGCTTTACAAAACACCCATTTCGGTCAACCGCGGATCACATGTTCAAGTCCGTTTTGTGTGGCAGGTGTGGGACGGTCAATTATCACCCTCTTTTAAATATATAAGACTTTAAAGCTTTTGGAGGGTGGAAATGCGACCGGGGTACGGCAAAGCTCCATGCTAGGATTCTACCGGGGAAAGGGTGTGCAGAAGAAGAAACCAACCATGTTCACTGTGGGAAGCTCAACAAGCGCAACTTTTGTCCTACCAGTGCGTCACGGCACATGTGTAGCAGTGCAGACAAAGAGGATGGAGACAGACATGTTATGTGGAGTAATGACCAAGCTGAAGCAGGTGCAAAAATCAGCAAATGACTTGGCAATTCCCACTAAATAAGCTTTTTGCACCCTGCGTCACAGCACATGTGTAGCAGTGCAGACAAAGAGGATGGAGACAGACATGTTATGTGGAGTAATGACCAAGCTGAAGCAGGTGCAAAAATCAGCAAATGACTTGGCAATTCCCACTAAATAAGCTTTTTGTACCCTTCAGGAGGAACAAAGTTTATGCTTCTTGAAAGCTTTACAAAACACCCATTTCAGTCAACCGCGGATCACATGTTCAAGTCCGTTTTGTGTGGCAGGTGTGGGACGGTCAATTATCACCTTCTTTTAAATATATAAGATTTTAAAGCTTTTGGAGGGTGGAAATGCGACCGGGGTACGGCAAAGCTCTATGCTAGGATTCTACCGGGGAAAGGGTATGCAGAAGAAGAAACCAACCATGTTCACTGTGGGAAGCTCAACAAGCGCAACTTTTGTCCTACCAGTGCGTCACAGCACATGTGTAGCAGTGCAGACAAAGAGGATGGAGACAAACATGTTATGTGGAGTAATGACCAAGCTGAAGCAGGTGCAAAAATCAGCAAATGACTTGGCAATTCCCACTAAATAAGCTTTTTGTACCCTGCGTCACAGCACATGTGTGGCAGTGCAGACAAAGAGAATGGAGACAGACATGTTATGTGGAGTAATGACCAAGCTGAAGCAGGTG